TGTTGGTCTTGTTTTCACTGCAATTATCACTAAAGCGTTGAGAAGAACAGTGAACGGACAAGTTATGATGTTCAAGATGATGTTGATGATCAAACAAATCTGCTCTGGTGCGCTAAGTCCCGGAGGTTCGTCCAAGGCATTCGAAACATTGAAGGTTAAATTGGAACCTGTAGCTGAGTTCGGGTCATACATGTTTACGGTTAAGAATCAAAATGCTTCTGTACTTTTCATCACTGTACCATAATATGACACTTGCAGCTGCGCTGTCATGTACTCAATCAATTGCTCTCTTTTGGGTCAACTTCTGCTATTGTGCGTCGTTATCAATGATTCGATAATGTATATTACAGAAAAAAAGACGACCTTGCAAAATATATACATTTCTCAATTACTCAATCAGCCGCTTAATAAGCTGAAAAGAGCAAGCACTTTGTACTTGAATATTACCCATGCCAAAAGATTGATTTCATCCCTTACAGAAGACAGCAGTGTCCGACTATCGAAGTAACTTTTGATAAATACACTTTTTATATTGTTTCAGTGGCCCTTAGTCAATGATCCATTACTGTTTAAAAAACTTGAGAACGCAAGTGTTTCCGCTAAGCTTTCTCCCGCGAACTGATTGGTTAACTTGTTCATGTTCGTTCCTTAGAAGCACTTTATTTATTCTTTCTAGCGATCTTTTTTCTTTGCACTAATGTGGTACAATTTTTGCACAAGAATAATAATAAGAAAAAACAGCACACGCGATCTGGGAGAACCTAAGATAGATTTTTAATGTAAATGTTGATTTGTAAGCATTTATTACTTTAAATGTCAGATATATTATATATGCCTTTCTAGTCTTTCTGGAGATATTTAAATCTCGTAAGTGGGCTTCAAAAGTTTAAATAGGAAATTTTGACGGATTAAAGTCGATGGATTTTAATGTTTCTTAGGTCCTATTGTTGGTCCAAAAAGATTCTTGATTTTTTGTTACGTCATCTTTTTCGAGTTAAAATTTTTCACAGCATTTAGCAAGAGTTTGTTATTCTTTTTGTTTCGAAGCCTTTCAGTATCCGCCAGTAACCCACTGTATCCGAAGGTGAGGATATTACATGCATGCATTCGCGTTAGTTCTTTAGCATTTTTTAAAGACCAAGAACATCCCTTGATACGGTTGGCTTATGTGCCAGTTTAACATACTGCCTGGTTTGTTCTTGGATACAAAATTCAGAAACTTCAGAAAAGTCCCTCAGAACCGGTTATCATTCGATTACCCAGGCACATTTCAACCCACGCGCCCGGTTAATATAGTGGAGTTATTCAGTGTGAGAGAGAACGAAACGATCAGATTGAGTTTGTTTCTTAACGACCCAGGTCCCGTTTGTATGGAGAAAACTTGTCCCGGGTAGAAAAGTCATCGGCCTACCCGAGCCACCCTGGGTGAGCTATTTTTTCAAACATTTTACCTTCCAAACATGGCGAACCGTTTCAATTAGAAACAAAAAGTTGGCTGGGCAAAAAGAATGACCCGTCTAGCCGGGTTAGCCTTTTGTGATTGGAGGGTCACCCTCCTTGCCGGACAATTCCCACTTTTCTCCATAAAAACACTTCGGCTCGCCCAGCCTGATCAACGCAACAAAGTGAAATAAGAGTACGCGGAAGCGCTGTTGGCTTGGACAAAGGGGTCAACGTTTTTGTCATACAAACGCTTGCCTAAAATTGGCTCGGCTGGGAGGGTGACCTTTTACAGGGAACACTTTTTCTCCATGTAAGCGGGCTCAATGAGTAGTTTCACGGCAATATCATCAATACGATTTTTCCTAATCCCTGTACGGCGTTTTTTCAGTCCCTCCCGGTCAATTTACTTCGGTGACGTATAAGAGACGAACGGGAGGGTACTAATTGGACCACGTGACCGGAAACGCTTTGGCCGCGCAGAATAATGAGGCCTAGGGACGAGTGGTCACCTCTATTAAGTCGTCACTTTTTCCGACGTTCCAACAAGTTATTCATCATCTTCAACTCTATTAAAGGATCACCTTCAGTGACAAGATTTGCCGTTATAGTGGTTTTTTACTTCCATTCTTTTGTCACAAGAAGACGTAGAGACGCTTTCAGGTCGATTTGCCGTGGGATAGTCTCTTTCATCATCCTCCGATTTTCTTGAGTAACTCTTAGGTTTGTCAAACTGTCATCATGTATTTTAAAATAAGTGGTCAATAAGCCATTTCTCAAGTGTGACCTCTTAACTCTTACTACAAGTTTGACTATACTTTGCACGGATTTTATCTCGTACTCTTTTTTCTATTTTGAGAAATCGTCAAATCGAGTGTGACCTTTGCCGTTCGCCATCGACGTTATTTTACTAAATCTCTCCAATATCAGCGGGTTGTACCACTTGTATTGATTTAGGAAATCTTAATACGAATTTTCTCATTTCTCTTTGTCGCAGACAGTAAATTAGTGGATTGAGGAAGGAGTTGAACATGCTGAATGTACGAACAAATGGTGTCAAAACAAAAAACCAACTTGCTGCAATTACAGCTGGACCCGACCACAAAATTACTAATAAAATTAGTATGAAAATAGGGAAAAAACACATTAGAACAGCTCCTACTACGAACACAGTTGTCTGGAGGGCTTTGCTCTCTTTGGCAAATCGTTTTACTTCTCCTTGTGGTACTTGCTCAGTTTTCATTCTCCTCTGATGTCGGCGGGTTTCTTGGTACAATAAAAAATAAGAAATTGAGATAAAAACAACACAAGAAATTAAAGCCACGACCGCTATAACGTTTGAATATAAAGGGTTGTCCATGGCGTGTTTTAGTACCTCAGACGAAATTGAAAGGAACCAAAAGCTTCCCACTGCCATCTTGAGTTTATGTCTTGTGACAAAGATAGGGTAGTACATGGTAAATTTAATCGCAATTACCCTCTCGTAAGTCACCAATATCAGATGAAGTGATGAACAGACGAGCACAACGCGTATGGAAGAGAAATGGAAATTTTCTGCTGCGTCTTCAGCGCTTTTACCACCCACTCCGAGTAACAACAACATCATGTACAGAATAAACGATGGTTGTGCCAGAACACCACTCACTGCATCGGTCGCAGCTAAACAGGCCAGTACAATATTGGCATANGCGTCTTCAGCGCTTTTACCACCCACTCCGAGTAACAACAACATCATGTACAGAATAAACGATGGTTGTGCCAGAACACCACTCACTGCATCGGTCGCAGCTAAACAGGCCAGTACAATATTGGCATAGCTCTGAAGTGTTGGTCTTGTTTTCACTGCAATTATCACTAAAGCGTTGAGAAGAACAGTGAACGGACAAATTATGATGTTCAAGATGATGTTGATGATCAAACACATCTGTTCTTGCGCGCTAAGTCGCGGGGGTTCGTCCAAGGCATTCGAAACATTGAAGATTGAATTGGAACCTGTAGTTGAATTCAGGTGATACATGTTTACAGTTAAGAATCAAAATGCTTATGTACTTTTTATCGCTGAACCACAATTAAATGACACTTACAGCAACGCTGTCATTTAATCATTCAATTGCTTTTTTTCGTCAATTTCTTCCATAATTGTGCGCCGTTATCGATGATGTATAATACAGAAAAAAAGAAGACCTCCCAAATACCGTAAAATTCCAAAAATAAGCCCCTTCATGAATAAGCCCCCCAAACTCGTAAAGCAAAAGCAAAAAACCCTCCGTTAAATCACCCATCCGAATATAAGCCCCGGGGGCTTGTACTTGGAAATTGCCCTCAAATACAAAGTAACAAAGCAATAACGGTACGGTAACCTATCAATTTTTGTATTTTCCAATTAACTATTACGTGTGCCAAATGATTGCAGTCAGAAAGTGGTACAGTTTATTGCTGTTTGCGTAGTTCATTCTTTACTCTCGGCCAATCGATTTTGAGACGCAAATTTCCCTCCAAGTATAGCCTAGCCAATTTTGAAACGTAATTTTCCTCCGTATATAAGCCCCTCAAAAAGGGCCTTTGAAAAATATAAGCCCCGGGGCTTATTTTCGGAATTTTACGGTATATACACTTCTTAATTACTCTGTCAGCCACTTAATAAGCTGAAATAAGCAAGCGCTTTGTACTTGAATAGTTCCCATGTAATGATTGGTTTCATCCCTTAAAAGACAAAAGTGTCCGACCATCGAAACAACTTCTAATAAAAACACTTTCATGATGTTTCTGTGGTCCCTACTGAGTCAATGACCTATTAAGCTTGAATATGCAAGCGTTTTCCACTCAGCTTTTTCCCGCGAGCTGATTGGCTTACTCCAGTAAGGTAGCTCTTGTCCATGTTCTTAAATTAGAAGCACTTGATCCATGGAAATTAGCCCCGGATCTTTTTTCCTTACACGAATGCCATTTAAATGTACAGAAGAAAAAGACGGAGGAAAAAACACAAAAAACAAAACAGCAACGATCTAGTTAAAGAAAATTACATATAAAATCGCCAGATTTACCAATACAGCACGAAACGGGGATGTAAAGTGAAAGAGAAGCAATTAAATTAAAAAATGAGACCGGGAAAAAATGTAATCGTTCGTATCTAATGGAAGCCGATGTAAAAAATATATAATTTTAAAGTATATAGTTTCGTTTATGTATCGGCTTAGAGCAATTTTCTACTTGAGTAGTGTTTGCTATGTGCCATGACTATTAGTTTATGGAACTCTGCAAGTTTCATTTGTCTATTATACTGGCATAATCGAAGTCAATGAAATGGTTATTTCAGAGCTAAAAAATTAGAATCTTTTTTGACATGTTATTCGTTTGGAATGCAGCCTTTTTTCCCTAGTAAACGACACCAAGCCCCTATCTAAACAATACGACATCCTTTACGGCATTCGGTACATATTTCGTACATTTTCAAAGATTTTAATTTTTCACACAACCCTTCACCATATATTTTTCCAATCGTGCGTTATGTATATTAGTTTATAATGGCTTCACACTGAAAGCTTTAAGTTCGCTGTCTTTAAAACTCCACCAGATGACGCTTTTTGTCATAAATTTTACTCTCTTAGTATTCCTGGTTACTGTTCCATTTTTATTCCAGTATTTCGTGTGCTGTTCGAGGGTGAACGATCGAAGGGTAAGCTATACAAGAAGACGTATTTATTTAGAATTTCGTGTGAGTTATACAACGCGCGTCGCGGAATATGATGGTAACATGAAGTTAAATAACATACATTTCGAGGAATGGTTATTTTAGTCACAGCTGCCTTTTGAAGTACATAGTGAATGTATGTCCCAGTTGAGTTGAATCATGAGTAGGAAGGGCAGGTACCATGCCGATGAAGAATAAACCACTAGTTTCCCTTTCCTCGCATTTTTCATTTGTGCGGATGTGTAATTGATGACCGCCGAACTAAAAATCAATTGTTACCCAGTTTGTTTCCTCTGTGATTTAAATCGTGAAGCAAAAATCCGCAGCAATATTCAAGTTTTCGAGAAACGATTGAGTAGATTGGTCATATCATATGGTATAAGTTATATCAAATCGGATTCCGACCATCTTGACAAAAACGGCTTCGGTAAGATGAAACCGACGCCAAACTTTGACATCAAAGCTTGGAATTGGAAAAGTAAGCGTGATCCTTGGAGAGACGTTGGCCTTTTCCGACGCAACTTTTATGCACAACAATCAGCGTTGTCCGCTAAACTAAGATGACGTCAACCAGGTGCCTGCAGAGAGACAGCGGTTACAAGCACTTGAGCATGCTCTGGAGGCATTTCTGTCAGAATGTTCTGAAATCTTTGTGGTGATTGATGTTGTATTGTTTGTATCATACTGATGAGTCCAGCACGGATGCCTGAAAATGTAACGAACTATCAGGTCAATCTTACCGACAAATGCAAACTACTTCACTTCCTTAGTAAATTATACACATTATAGAAAAATCTAGTGCATATCTAACTCTTGAGTCTGTGAATAAAACCCTCAGGTGTCGACATTCATATGACACCCTTTCAGAACTTCCACAAGGTGCTATTTATTTGGCAAGTAGCTCGAACATTTCACTCTGCTGTGGATGAAAACCTTTGCTGGGATCATTAAAATAAGACTTCTTAATTGATAATTATTAATTTAGTTGGTTTGCGATTCGAGCTTTGAGTCTCTCTGTGAAACTCAATTCCATAACTACCACTATAACTATTCATTTTCCAAATTATTACCCAATTCTAAGGGTGTGTGTAATTTTAAGAGTACAAGGGTTTCACTAAACTTTCCTTTGCCCCTCATCTTTAACCAAAAGACAACCGGAAAATCGGCTCTATTCCGCATTGCGGACCATTGCCGCGTAAAATAGATTTTGGCGCGTCAAATGAGCTTTGAAATTTTGCCAAGGAGTCTACGATTTGGAGCTCTTCTTTTATAAGAAAACTCCTTGACCTGGATTGCTGTCCAAACGTTTTTCCTACAGCCTCTTATTACTCATTATGACTATCATGTGATAAATGAATTATCTAAGAGCTAACTTAGCCACGGTGGGTACTCAACAAAGTGTTATACAAGGAGGCTCCCTTTTTGAAAGAAAACGTACTCCTTTCGTATACCTTCTGTTGACAAATGGTACCCTTTTACATACCTATTTTAGAACTTTGCTCGCCTTTTAACCGCTGGAAATGCACTGTCTTTCAAATATGAATAAATCACAAAACCAGAACCTTTTCTCAACATTTTAACAGCCATAAAATGCATCTGTTGGCCCTTAGGACTTTTTACACCCGAAATGGCAGATTTCCCTTCCCTTTCATACACTTCAACAAGTGAATTTCCTACTCTTTCATATACCTGATAAGGGTACCCCGTTTGGGCGGAGCCTCCCCGTATTGGCCATTATGGGGAGCATCCCCTCCCCCGGGAGCTTACCTTGCTGCAAAGAAGAACTTGAGAAAACACCGCTGAAGTCGTGGCAGCGCCTGATCAGCGTGTGTTCATCGCTAAACAACTCTATGATGCACGAGTAATTCCTAACCCTACCCCCCCCCCCCCCCCCCCCGGGCGACTTTTTTTTCCCCCAAACTCCCCCCGGAAAAAAAAAAAAAAAACACCGAAGTTGGTGGGGGCGGCCCCGCCCCCCCCGAGATCCGTCGCGAGAAAATCATAGATGGAAAGGAACGCCCCGCGCCCACCCCCACCCCCACCCCACCACAGGCGCCAGCCCCCTCCACACAAAACACTCTCCCCCCCCCCCCCCCCCCCCCCCCCCGCCCGGGGTAACTTATCTTCCTGCAAAGATCCCGCGGAAAAAACTTGAGAAATCACCGAAGTTGTGGCAGGCAGCGCCTGATCAGCGTGTATTCATTGCTAAACAACTCTATGATGCACAAGTAATCCCTAACCTTAACCCCACCCCCCCCTCCGGCAAGGTAACTTATCTTCTTGCAAAATTCCGGCGGGAAGAACTTGAGAAAACACCGCTGAAGTTGTGGCAGGCACCGCCTGATCAGCGTGTGTTCATTGCTAGACAACTTTATGATGCACGAGTAATTCCTAGCCCTCACTTCCCCGGGGAAACTTACCTTCCTGCAAAGTTCCCGAGGGAAGAACTTGAGAAAACACCGCTAGAAGTTGTGGCAGGAACTGCCGGATCAGCGTGTGTTGATCGCTAAACAACTCTATGATGCACGAGTAAACAGGATGGTTTTCGTCGAAGTCTTCCTTCAAAGGTAGGCATTGGAGAATTCCCGGGAAAACCTGAAAGAATGGATACCAGCTGAATGATATGAATGTAAAAACGTGAAGAGATTTGAAAGAAATTCAGTCAAACAGTGCAGCCAATTTTAAGGCAAATTTGCATTCTGTAAAACAGGCAAAGTTGTTACCATGTAAGTATGAAAATAGTGTAATTGGCAATGCGACAGTTTAGACTGGCAAAACATGTTCGCTGCTGCTACAATATTCTTTTTCTCAACATAGCACATTTTTGGTAAACTGTACTTACTAACCAGAGCTAGCAATTCCATTCCAGCTTGTTCAGCACTCTTTTGTAGACACTCTTCAGCTTTCGAGAACGTACTTGGCCGCAGATTTGCTTTACGTTATGCTTACTACCCTTATGATTTCGCGGAGGGGTTTACAAGATTATTTGTGGCTAGTTTCCAGACCCAGCTTCCGCGAGTCTACTACACCAGGCAGAAGCCTCCCCACCCTCCCAGACCTTTACGCATGTGACATCACAGTACTAACGGTCCTTTCAAACCTTTTCCAGGGGAATAGAATTCCTATTTGCCATGATCATCCTACAGACAGCACCACAGATGTTATCCACAACTCGAGGAGGTTGGTTCTGAGACAGGAAAACGAAGAGCGATTCTAAAACGTTCTGATAATGACTGCAGTTAGGATAGTCAAGGAAACACAGGTCTTTTTATTAGAGACCGTTAATTCTAAGACGAGGACGACTACGAGAACGAGGTTTCTCAACACTAAGTGGTGCGCACGCGTGAACCAGCGTCATTTTGGCGGGAAAACGTGATAGCCGTCGTCATTCTACTAAGGGTTCTAGCGAAAATGTTATAGTAACGGGAAAAGGTTATCATTTTGTTATCGAGGGAGGACTTTTTTTTTTAGTAAAGTCAAATCTCTTCCTCCTAGTCGTCTCTTTCATAGAAATTTAAAGAGTTAACTGAATTGGAAAACACTTACTGGAATTTCGAAACCACCAACTTCCTCGCAGTGACCAATTTATCACGTGACCCAGAACTCCAAAATGCTAATTATTGACTGACGTGTTTTCCCGCGAGTGCAACAGGTTGCACATTTGCGTTGGCGCTCTCAATATCGCTTACAAGAGTGTAGTGGGACAGCTATAGCTAACTGCGAGCAGTGGTACATCATATTTTGTATTTTCTCAATTTTTCTTAATAAACTTGAACTTGAACTTGAAAACTAGTTGGTGCTATTTTAAAAGAAGTAGAGAAAAATGATTGTAATCCTAGTTGCTTTCTGCACGTCTTAATCCTTCTACAAAAGATCATGGGGGTGGGGGTATTGTTTTCCTTGTTTTGCTCCAATAAATTTGCATCGGGGCTGGCCATGTGAGTGAAAAGGCTCTACAGGCCACTCTTGGTTGTGAAAAACTAACAAAAATCCCAGTAAAATTTCACTACAATTGAAAGGATACGGTAACATGATATCTCCACCATAGAATGCCAGGAGACCCAGTCCATAGATCGTGTTGCTCCTAACTTCATCGTCTTCGTCCTTGAGTGACGTCATGAAAACTGGGAACAAAGGCTGGACAAAAGGGGCTATGGCGTGTCCCATGGCGAGGAGTATCTGTAGGCGGAACGTATTAAGCCAAAATATTTTACGATCGCTTTGGTTACATTTATTTTAATGTGCTCTTTGGTTATTTAAGGGAAAGTCGTCTAAAAGCAAACTTATCGAGGGTAAGACGTGTTGAGCCACTGCAAAACAACTTCTATCTTTTTGAGCCTTCACAGGAAACAGCATCTTATTTCTTTTAAAAATATCACTGCTTAACCTCTTTACTCCAAACAGTGGCCAGAGTGAAAATTCACCACAAATTCCAAATTTCCTCTTGTACAATCCTAATACTAAATAGCATCATGCAATTGTTCTGCTAAAGAGCTTTCATCTGAATGGCCACACTATAGGAATTCATCCACAGACTCAAAAGTTAGAGCTACATATTAAATAAATAGTACCGTGTGAAAGTACTACTGAAGAGGTTTCATTTGAATGGCAATACCATAGGATTTTGTCCACAGACTCAAAAGTTAGAACTACGAATCATCTCATAATTACTTGGTCAGGAAGTGGAAGAGTTAAACCAAACACAAGCATGATGACACTTATGACCAAAGGATAAAGGTTTGATTTCAGACAAATTCTCCTTAGAAGGGTTAGGAGAATAGTATGAAGAATAAACATGTCGATATTTGGAATTGAAGGGCTAACGATTTTCATTTAGTACGGATGGGTAGGGTGGAAGTTGATGGCAGCTGAATATGAAACGGAAAGCGATTTAAAGCTCTGTTGTGTTACTGAAAAAAAGGGAACAACTAAAGCACGGTTTCCACGTACCTCTTAGTTTATGTACAATCTTCCTTTCGGCTTCTTGAACATTTCGATTATAGTAATAAAGATAAACAGGAAAAGAAACGAATTCTCGATGATAAAGATTGTAAACTCGTTAAATAAACTATCAAAATGAGCTTTACCTCTGAAATAGTTCCAATGGCAAATGATTTATCAGAAACCGGACAAGATTTCCTCTGAAAAAGGAAGAGCCAGAATGAAAAATATATTACCAAAGACTCGTTACATATAGGAACGGAAAGGGAAATAGAGTCTAATTTATGAGCGCACGTGGTAAACGACAAATAGCGGAGATGACCAGGTGACTATATCCCCGCCATTTGTTAAGTTTGCCTTTTGTCAATGTGAAGAGTGAAGAGCAGTGCTTTAAAGTTTATGAAGAACGTAGGTTATCATCATTGGGTTGCAGGACACAGTATTGGGTCTTTAAACTACGAATAGCCCCTCATTTTTTTCAGGGAAAGCAGAGCATGCGAAGACGCAAACGCGGGTGAAATCGCCACAGGTGATCTCCGGCGAGGAAGGTCCGTATTACTCTTACGTGTCATCTTTCATGGGTAGCGATTCCAACGCGGTCTAGCGCATTTCGCTCGCTCTGGTACAGGTATGCGTGAGAGAAATGAGGAACTACTTGTAGTCTATACAATATGTTACCTACTGTATGAGAAAAACCTCAAGAATGTGGAAATAAATAAGTAAATAAATTAATAATAATAATTGACTCAATATTATTAGCTGTAACTCGTACATGACTTTCACTAAGCCTTTATAGATGTAAAAATCTTGGTTAAAAGCAGGGTACCTCCCCTCTTGCTCAGCCATGAGCTTAACGGCACCACCCTTCCCCAAAAGATATTCCATGTTACGCGTGACACTGCCCTCTACACAGACGTTCTTTTGTGTCGTCCTACAATTCTTCCCTGAAAGAATTGCGTGACGACCCATAAGAATCTCTGCGTAAGCTATATGTAAGACACTTTACGTACAGTTTTCTTGAGTAACAGAGGTAAGAAGCCAGCAAAGTATGGAGCGAAGGTGGGGCCGCCTACAGCAGTAGCCAGCGAAGGAAGAATATCTCCTGCGTATTCGATCAACATAGCATCAAACTCGGCCTGTTGGTCGGAATCATCAATGTCATCGTCTTCGCCTTGCTGACAGGCAGTCTAAAACGAAACATGAGAGGCATTTCATTTGCTAAATTCAAGCTGTAATGTCGGTAAAATGAACGCATCTTTCCTAATTCATTATAGATTACCATCGTTTCTTTTCAATTAGCGCGAGACGGCGTGACCAAAGGGTTAGCACGCTGATTGCTAGACTACGCTTGTATGCAACCGACAGGCTCGCCTTCTCCCAGTGCAGATTGATAACTTATTTATTATCGGTATCTTACTTACGAGCACTAAAAACACCACGCAAAGTGAAAGCTCTTGCTCAGTCTTTACGAGGGGGGAGCGGGGGGGGGGGGGGGGGGGGGCGGGGGGTTCGAGGGTGCCCACGCCATCTTTGCTGGAGGGGGCTCCATAAATTAACTTGACAGGGGTTGAACACAAGAGGGGGCTGGTTATTTTCCATAACCTCTGCACCTCCGGTGTTTGTGTAGGTATTACTAAAATCTCTAGATAATATATATTTTGTTTAGATATTCTATACTACAAGACGGAGAAAAGCGCCGGGCCGGGGGGGGGGCGCGGCGGGGGGGGGGGGGGGGGGGGGGGGGGGGGGGGGGGGGGGGGGGGGGGGGCGGTTATCGACTGTACACAGACTACTTTCCGAGAGTCGGCGACAAAATTAAAAGATTGAGGGTCTGTGAATAGGCTAGGGGGTATACTATTCCCTTAGCTAAGCACTGCCGGGGTTTGTGAGTATTTCCAATGAATGGATTCTAGTGAATATCACTGACTAACTTTGACAGTAGGCTAATGCACAGAGAATGCCACGAACAGACCTTTTGCGTTAGCACTGTTCTAGCAGCATTTGCAATAGCATCTGGGTGTCCTTGTTCATCGATGATCAAACTCTTGACCGACTTTAAAACTTCATTAAGGGACTGCAGTGTTGCCATGGCGACTGATCTGTCCTTGTCCTTTGTTATAACGGTGATAAATGTTGGTATGGTCGTACTAAGCATACGCTGCACTGCAAAGAAACGTAATACGGATTAGTAACATCTTGTAACGAACTCCACGGAAAGGTTAAAAAATTATAGCTGACGAGCAGCATCTTTCCTATATTCGCTTGAAAATGTTTTCCTCAAGTCCTGACATTTCTGGTCTCCTAAGAGACAACAGATCGTTTTGTCATGACTTCGCGGCGGCCATGTTGGTGTAGCAAAACAATTCCATGGAGACTCCACTCTTTTATGTAAGCATTTTCTTGTACAACTGGTGATCACGGGCTAGCATTTTTCACGGGCTAGTATCCGGGCTAGCACTTTGGGTGGGTGGGGGGGAAACTAGCTGTCCACGGAACCCCCCCCCCTTTTTTGTTATAGCTTTTGAGCAACGTTGCAATCTAAGCGAAATTGCAATGGCCCCCTGTCTCTGTTTCCATGTGGCTTTAAATTGTTTCCTTTAACACACAAGCTAAGTAAATTTGATCGGAAGGAATCGTAGCCTGTGCCAGGCTCTTAGGTAGTAGGGAGGTCCCAAAATCAAGCCAAGCGAAAATAGAGACGATTGACGCGGTCACCTTCTCTCTCCCCAATCCCCGCGCGTTTTTCGCGTCATTTTTCACGATCTCTGCACTACAATCTTAGAGCTTGGAACACGTTAAAGTAATCGAAGTTCTGGTGGATTCGAGAGGCAAGATGGCAGTCCGTTCACGTGCGCGCATTAGGGGAGCTCGAATTAAACGCGACGGTGGCCCCCTCGCCTCGTAATCAGCAAACTCGCCCTGCTTGCCTTATAAAAAAGACTAATATGAACATACAGGCCGTTTTGTCTTCTGCACCAGCTTCTTGCAGTAGGTTATGGAATACGCTACAGAACTGACCTAAAGCCATCACTGCTCCTTTCCGTACACCTGTGTGAGGAAACTGACAGGTCCAATAAGGTTTACTAACAACTTTACAACCAGGTTCAGGTCCATGATGAAAAGGCCATATAATAAGTAACTTATTAACCTCGTCTGTTCGGTCATTACAGGAAAATCTCAGACCTCGGCCTTGATGTATTGACCTCGCTAATACATCAAAGCCTCGGTCCTAGATTTCCCTGTAATGACCTCACTCTCGGTTTATAATAAGCAGTATATAATATTAACAACAGGAAATGCTTAAAAGGGCTATGTCACTGTAGCCTCCCCGCAGACGTTCTTACGGGTTCGTCACGCGTTCCTGCCCCACTAAGTGACGAACCCCTGAGAACGTTTGCGTGGGAGGCTAGTGTCAAGGCTGATACCAATTACACGTCCTTATTCACTATGGAACTTGAAAAATTACTTGGAGATCACACAATCGTGTCTCTCGTGCATTATATCAAACGTAGAAACAACTAAAATGAACTTTGAAAAATGTCAGGCTAACAAGTTTTCAAAAACCACAATTGCAAACCGTTTCAATCTTCTTCAAGTTTGTCCATCCGCCAGTCCTCCTTTTCCATTTGTTATGTTATTTATACCTGTTTTTTCATTTTTTTGTGTGGTTATTTTTATGTTTTACTCAGTTTGGTGATAGTTCCCACTGTTTAAATTTGGATAAATTTCGTGCCACAGCTCCTTTTAGCCTCTCTTCCTACCTGTACAAGCTTTAAGACTTCTTTAAATGATTCATCTAAATAAGGTAGAAACTCCTTCCTGCATCAAGGAATAAATAACAGTAAGATGGTCAGCGCTCTGTCTGGCGAAAGTAAGCTTGGGGGGACTCCCATATGAAAGGGGTGGGGATGCTTGTCGGAAATTTTTAATTAAACCCCTAAAGGAGACCAATCTGGGCGTGGCCCAACCTTTTTGACCCCTAAAACAGACCATTTTAAACTTTGATTTCATGAATCGAGTAAATAAAACCAATTGAAAATATAAAATTTTTAATATTTCTTCGCATGCAACCCTAAAGGAGACCTTCACGGCTAAATATAATGGCGTTTTGCTCAGAAAACCCTCAGTGAGACCAAAATCTTAAATTTACACCCCTAAGCAAGACGAAGAGCATCCCCGCCCCTGTCAAATGGAAGTCCCCCCCCCCCCCCCCCTAAAGAACATGAATATAAAAAGGGTCATATAAAAATCTAGAGGTGTGACATCGGAAGATGACCCATGAGATCAAAAATGTTGTCTAGTTTAGCAAAAAACCTCACGGCGGAAAAAAACTTTAAAAATACCCCCCCAACAACAACATAGCGCACCCCCGCCCCGCCAATATTTACGCCCCCCCCCCCCCCCCTCGGGAAAGTGACCGTCTGTTCTTAGTGTATACGTTGCGGTTCAATTTTATTCTTGGTTGAAATTTTATTTTCCTTTGTTTTGGGGTACCATAATGTATGATAATGAGTTTAAAACAATTTTAAATAAAATTTAAAATAAGGTTAAAATTGCACCCAACATATATTATAGAAAAGGAGATTTTCGAAAATCAATTCCCTCACCCCGAGTTCTCTGCTACTTCTCCTAAAGCGTTACAAGTGTCTTCTTTTTCTTCCAAATAAGCATTTTCTACGCTATACCTACAATAAAACACAACACATGAACACTGGTGATCACCTAAGAATCCCAATATTAAGCAGGTGTTCGAAAGGGAGGAGAAAATCGTGCGCGAGAGACGTGACGATCACGCGCTTTTCGCACTCTCGCGCGCGAAAATTCCTCATCTTCCCTTCCCTGCGCCACCCTCGCTCCCACATACACTTTTAAAATACACTCGTAACAGTTTTAAGGTACGGTAAAACGGGTCACAAAAACGTGTGACTTGTTTTGCAACATTGCAGCAAAACGAGATGAATAGCGCGTTTCAACTAACCACGTTCAAACCTGTCTTGCAACAATTCAAGTTGCTGCAGAAAGTAGAGTGTAGTTCTACTTTTTGCAACAAAATCTGTACATGTTACGCGTTTTACCGGCTCAAGGCAATCTTGCTTTGCAGCAAGCGACGCTGTAACTGCTGTGTATTGCGTGACTCCTGCGTAATTTTATTCAATCAGAAGTCAGCGTTCACGCAACTTGCAAAACCTGAATGATTTGCACGTTGTTGCTGCCCGTTTTACCGCATCTTTAGAACATCAGGTGGTCTGTTTGGGAAGACAACACATAAAAGGGTCTATTTAAAACATACCCGGTGACCTCATCATCATCTTCATCATCATCTTCTAAATCCTCGTCCTCAAGTAGAAAGCTAGGGTCGTCCTCACTTGCATAGTGAGTCTGTCATCAGAGAAACAAGAGGTTTTCCCGCGCTCATTAAACGTGACTTCTTAATTTCTGAGTTGGTAGCTTTTTGCTTCTTGTCTTTTATGCCACAGTAATTTGGTCCCAATTGGTATCCAACATTTTGAGAAATGACAAATAAAAACGCACTTTGTTGGAGTGCTAATGTTTTTAGCAGAAAAGTACTAATAGAGAAAACCATTTTTCCGTCTCCCAGTGGAGATGAGACCGTCTCAAAGACAAAGGCAGTACCTTAATTTCATTTTCCAGTTACTTTGAGACCATGAGTATTATTCCGGCCCCCGGGAGATTGAGCCCGCGACCTGCAACTCTACAGTCAAGCGCGATAGTCCTGCTCGATGACCGAAATAACGACTTTTTTAGAGCATAAGCCTGTCTCTAGTTTACGCAATATAGGTACAACACAGGAAATCTTTCTTAACAACAACGATAAGCCGAAACTGCGCCCTTTGATCCCACTCCCCATTCTGGCAGTTAGCTGGTAAAACACACGAGGTTTCAAATCATTCAACACCAGAATCAATGATTGAGGTGACCTACCACAATTCCCTCTGTAGATTGTAATGAATCAATCATGTATTTAATGATGTCTTTTAAATATCTTCCCATGTTGGTCTTCAATATTGTGGATACTGATGCAAACAAGCCATATCTGTGTAAAATATAAACGGAAAAGAAGTTTTGATAATAACATGTACCACAACTACACGCCACGGTTCCTCTGGACTGGAGTTAACAAACACGACGAAGATGGCAGCTTGAACAGTACACCGAAAACAATGAGATCTTCAGAACCTGGTCAAATTCTATTTTTAAAAAAAAAAAAAAAGATCGTCTACTTTGTCATTCTTTCTGGATTTTTTTTTTCATATTCAATACGCAAGTTTAACGAAAAAAGACAATGCTTACGTGCATCTCCTGAGATCAGGATCCCTGTCCTGCTCTAGAAGTGTCTACAGAGAAAAATAAATAAAACACGAACAAATGAATAAATTAATGAATGAAAGAACGAGCGAGTGAATGAATGAACGAACGAGACGAATCAATGAATCAATCAATTAATAAGAGAAGAGAGAGAGACAGAACGTCTTTGTTTCACGATCCTAGAACGTTCCACTTTTCTTCCACACCCCAGGGGCTCGGATTTTTTCTTCTAAGGCGCCGACAAAAAATGAACCGTTCGCATTTCATTTTTCAAATGGCGCCGACAAAAATTTAAGGGTTGGGATTCCAGCCATCTTTATTGGGGTGGAGGGTGGGTGGGGAGCGGGGGTAGAATAAAAAATGGAACGTCTCCCTGGTAATGTCAATTGTTGTACTAAAGGGTGCATAAAACTCCTCCTTCAGAGAGCGGCTCTATAGAAACACACATCTTCGTGATTCTGGAATCGTATGGAACTGCACTTGTTGTCAACTTCACAGAGTAGTGATTTTAGCAAGTTGTACGGCGGCCGGCGGACATACATATAGGTGGAGCTTCATATTAGCGTTTAACAGTAAGGTTATTAGGTTTGGAACCTACCAAGCCAAGCTGAATACATTCATCTGCTAGTGATATGAAGTTATCTGACCCAATTGTTCTTGCTAGGACACCCAATGTATCTGCGAAACAAACAAATAAAAAGAACAATCAACGCCGTCCTGTTGTCACGCCGAACCTTGTTGTCACGTTACAGCTTTCGAACGAACAACTTTAAGTACTAATTGCATAAGGCACACGTAAACTGCCACTTCCGAAAATTGAGAACAGCGGTCGTCAGTTGATATAACAAAACACTGTTACCCCGTGACGTCACAGATTTCGCCTCGTTGCCGGGTCACAAGCTTTTGGCGGGAAACGGTCTTTTGATAGACGTCATGTTACTTCAAAGTAGCCAATAAAGGAGGATACGTGAGAGTAATTACAACAGTACAATGCACTACCCGCCGTTTCAACAGTTAGGGCCTTGGACGTGGAGGACATTTAGATGCAAAGTTAACCCCAAAAAAATGACAATAAACAGGGGCAATTTGTTGCAAGCCCAGTTAGCGCGGGTTGTCCTGAGGTTAGCCGCAAACAGAGTATATGAGTTACAATGGCACCTATTCGAACAGCTCGACCCAGGGGTTTACTACCAACTCTAAAGTTCGGTAGGACCACCGCCACTTACCAATAGCTTGCACACGTAAAACGTTCCTCTCAACTGATCCAGTGTTGCTTAGATATTCCTGTGGAGAGAATGTCAGTATTCATAGAGCAAATACAGTATCTACTTGAACTAAAGTTGATACTAGTTTAAAAAAGGCGACTTTATTTTGATGAATACAAGAAGATTTCAAACGTAACTACTGTTTCAGTAAAGAAAAAGTAACATACATGGATATTGACTGATTGATGAAAAATTACCGTGTTTTGCCACGTTCTCATCAACAAGAACGCTCTCTTTCGAGTGGCAAAAAAGTGTATCAAATCTATAACATTTCACTTTTAATCCATAGGCAGCTTTGTTTTTTACTGTTGCAAAGAAACTGAGCCGTGACTTTTATAACACACGAAACACGTATTGTTTTGGGGACGCTACCGTTTGTTTAATCGGTTAATACGAAGTTGCGAAATTAAACTGGGTCAAAGTTCGTCCCCAAAAGCTGTCCAGTAGTGCAATTCCAAGCAACCGATCCAGTCTCAAGTACAAACTCTAATGGCCAATAAACAAAAAATTGCACGTAAAATTTTGTAGTGATTATCAGAGTTCACAGTTCATAAGCGAATTCGAAGTCCCTACAGTAAGTTACGGACCAGATTTTCACCATAGATTAACAGGAGAATACGACCAAGAATTCGCAACTTACAGCATCGACCGTAGAATACTGCCTGTAAAATTGGCCAATCAAAGCCATGCGTAATGAGAGTTATAGAGCTTTTTCACTCACGTGAATAGCAGCTATGCGAATTTATTGAGACAAAAGAAAATGTTTACCAAAGAAACCCCCCACAGGACTGGTTTGGAACACCGCTATAGGGGAGGACGTGACGTCATGTGAAAACGCTCTATACTACATTAACTTTACAGTAAACCGTGAAAAAATTATCTTGAGTTACCTTTAAATACTCAACTATTTGAGCGAAATAAGGAAGCATTGCCTCTTTAGCAGCGCTCGCTGTTAAGAAAAGAAAGGCAGTTTTAATCAAAAATTCCAACACATACCAAGTAGAAGAACTACTGTGCCTAACAAAACGAGAAAAAAGGAAACAAATCCAACCAATCACAGAGGTAAATGTTCTTCCTGTACGGTAGGAATTTCTGTGTATATAGATTAAGATAATCTTATCATCCTCATGTCAAAGAAAAAAGAGGATTTTGCGCAATGGGGGGGAAGGGGGGTGGGGGGGGCGTAAATGAAAGACTGAGAAAGAAAAGAGCATATGTCATCAGAGCAGCCAACATTACCTGTAGCGCCTATTGCACTGACTGCTAACTCCTTCATTTGTGCGCTCTACAAAAAAACAAAGAGAGAAAATTAAAAACGATAGAACACGAAACATTACAACAAAGAAAGAATATTAAAGACGATACAACATGGAACATTACAAGAAAGTAATACGCCTGCAGCGTGGATCAACTGAGTCTCGTGGTCAGCTCTTTCACTGCTGTGCCTTAACAAGAAATAATTCCCTATACGTATTTAACCTCGATCAGAAACTTGTCAGGAGTTACGCCATGAAATTCTGACCCCGGCTGAGCTCGTTAGCAGGCTCTTAAATAAACAATAACGACTTTCGAGCCGTAAAACAATACGCTTGTTTGATATCATGATTCAACAACATGCAAATACCGTATTTATTCCATTAACCGCCCTGGGCGCTTATTCAATTTTTGGACCTTGAGAGTGGGCGCTTATTCGAAGCTGGGCGCTTATTAAATTTTCACCATTTTAAGCAAGTGTAGTATGTTTATTTTGCGACAAAACAATAAATACTAATAACAAAATGCGAAGAAGTAAGAAAGCAAGGTTTCTGTAAAATACTCTGAAGAAAACTTCATCCTCGGGAAAGTCTCTAATTAGTACTTATTCAATTTTAATTTCAATCTCATAGTCACTCGAGTGGGTGGGTGGGGGTAGGCGCTTATTTGAGTTTGATTGGGAGGAGGAGGACGAGGAGGGGTGGAGGTGGGGGGTTACTAACTTTTTCTGCCTTTAGGATGGCCACTTATTCGAGTTGGGTGCTAATTCAAGGTTGGGCGCTTATTCGAACAAATACGGTAAGTGGCTTGACGTTTGCAATTAGAGGATGTTAGCATCAACAACGAGTACGAGTACGAGAACGACTTCAAGTGGTACTCGTTCTCGAAGTCGTTTTCTCAGCTTTCTATGTTAGCGATGACACCGAGTTCGAGATTATAGAAAATACAATTATGGGATTCCGCATGACTGGACGCCAAATTTGAGTCGAGGTAGCGCTTCCACAACAATTTCGAAAACAAAAAATGACTCTAAAAAACGTTCAAGACTGCTTGTTAATCGATTTTTCGAGGTAATGCGGGGGATGGTTAGTCGCGGTCTTAAAACACGCTAAAACCCATCAAATTCAACACAACAACCACACTGGATAAAAAAGTAAGTATTCTTTATTGATATCTTCGACTGTTGGGATATTTTCGACCAAATAATGGCAATTTTCGGGGTTATTTCGTGAGCCTGTGAGGCCTGTGGAGAGACATGAAACTTTCCCGGGTAGATGCAAATTTACTCTGTGTAGGGAATATCGCGTTCGGTTGCTTTTCCTCGACTTCAAAAGCAGTATTTTACATAACACATAATAGAAGGAATGTTCAAGATGATAAAGAGAGGCTAGAAACGAAAAGAAACTGCATTAAACGATCGGAATTTACCTTTGAAAGCCAGCTCTTCCTAATCGTTCTACCCACTTCGAGTTTTTGGTGAGAACTCGTCGTAGTGCAACTTGACAGGACGACTTGAAAACGTGGAGATGCGCAGAACGGATGCGCAGTACGCAAAATCGCTCATCTCGTTCTAGAGCTCGTACTCGTTGTCGATGCTAACATTCTCTATTAACAGACATAGTTACTACTTACTGTACTTGGCGATAAAGCAAGAAGCAGTTTTTCCATTAATGTAGGAAGATAAGGAAGAATACCTTCTCCTGCAAAAAGGTATATAAAAACGATGACGTTATAAGTTGTTTATGAATGAAGAAGATGAATGTTCTTTGTAAACCAAGCTACACAACAAATCACAGCTATTAGAGCGATGGACCTGCAATCTAGAGGCCCAGACTCTGTTTCATTATTTCTATGAAAAGTCTCTTAAGGGGAGAAGATAATCGTGTTCGTCAGAACCCATCCTATTCTTGATGTTTCTGTGGTACAAAGGCACAAATTTTCGAGGTGTCGCGGGCGTGACTGCCGATTGGCCGCCCCGACTGATTTTATCAGGGGCATCTCGGCCGGGAAACTGGACTCCTTTCCACTAGATTTCGTTTGCGTAAGTGACGAACGCGGATCCTTAATCAGTGATTACTTCTAGTTATATAAATATATACAATGTAATCTAAAAAGATCTGTTTTCGCCACAAATTGCCAATTTAGCCCCCTACAAGCCAAAGTCTGATTCATCCTCTCCTGGAGCTCTTTAAACACAGCCCCATCAAATGCCTGTTCAAGCCCACACTGGGACTGTATTGTCCCTGATTAAGGCACCCACCGAAACGGCCCCATTTTTAGGGCTACAACAGATCTAGTTTATTTTTATTCACAGTGTTTTTATTCTATTTATATCCGACAGATTACCTAAATTTTCACAGAATGTTTCAAGAGCATAATACGTCCTTGTTATGCTAGCTGAAGTCTTTCCACCATCTGTAGAATTCACAAGTCGCTCAAACAGAAGAGGAAGGATATCTGCACTGTATCTACTGATATCGGGCTATAAGACAACAGGAGAAAGAAAAAAAATGCATTCATGAACTTAATTATACAGTTGACACTACCTCACTTCTTCTCTACCCAGATGACGAGTCTGCCGTTGTTCTTGTATCTACTTTGAATAATGACGTTATAAAATTAACCTAGTGGTTTTCCGTTATTTATTTACAAGTCAATGAGGCTAAGACTTAGACTACGAGTAGTTCCCCATTTTTCCTCAGGGATAGTAGAGCAAGCGAGCGAAACGCGAGCGTGCGTGAAAATCACCCCACGCGAGAAAAGGCGACACGCGGCAGGGAGAGAGAAATTTTTCTCTCTCCCCGTCGCGTGTCGCCTTTTCTCGCGTGGGGTTATTTTTACGCGCGCTCGCGTTTCGCTCGCTCTACTATCCCTGAGGAAAATGGGGGACTACTCGTTGTCTAGCTAAGACTCAAACAATGTCTCTGGGCAAATCCCAGTTCACATACCACCTATCAGTGAAGGATCAGATCATTGGCATTGAGCCTACTCTTAAAATACTTGGCGTCTGTTTCACAAGCCTCATGTAGACATGATGCTATAAAAGCTTATGCTTAAATTGCGGCATTGCGTAAAATAAAGCGACTATAGCTCCTTCAAATGTCATGATCAACTTATACAAAGCCTATGTGCTACCGGACTTTGAATACTGTTCTCCACTGCCGCTGGGAATCTCGCGAACTCTGAACAACAAACTTGAATGTGTCAATCATTATGCATTAGCTGCGCTGGGTTAGTCTTACAAGATCTTAGATTATGGCCATGATCCACTGGCTTGTCTAAAAAACGTTTGCAAGGATGTGCTTCTGATTCTAGGATACGTTTAAATTCTTCCTCGTCAAATTCTGACGCCTAGTTACAAGGGACTCAACAGTACCCCTAAGGAGACCCATTTAGACATCTGTTCTGCACGCTCTGTAGATCTTCCCTCCCCAGACAGGCGAGGCATATTCTAAAACAGGTCTAATAAGATCTTTCAGATGTATGGGAACTGACAAGGAACAAATCACCTCACCTGTAAATACTCAGAGTATTGACCCAAAGCAAACAGAGCAGCATTTTGTACTAAATGATTTTCATCTGAAAGACCTTCAATACAACAAAATGGCAATGAAAAAACGCTTTTTCATTAATGGAAGACTCAGTTTCCTAGAATAGCAACTAATGAAACTAATGATCTTTTATCATGCTGTTTACTGTTTATGTTAGGAACTTCGCACCTCTACAAATGGTCTGTAAGGCAGCTTGCAGGTATCTGAAATCCAACAGGATATTTTAATGTACCTGGATTGCCACTGGACTAGGAGCCTGTTTACATGGAGTGGGGGACCCGGTCTAGTGGGGTTAGTTTCTTTTGTTTTCACGCTCTGGGGGACACAAAACAAAAGAAACCTACCCCACTAAACCGGGGTCCCCCGCTCCATGTAAAGAGGGTCTAAGAGTATTATTGTTGGGGTATTTGCAGGACTCCAAATGATTAACACAGAATTAACACGGTTCTTATACTTTAAACGAGAAATAACAGTAATAATTCAAAATGCTGTACCTGAAATTGTTGTAACATTAGTTAATTCAAAGAACAATAGCTTTATTCTGGAAAATAACCAGGCTAAATGGTGGAGTTGTCAGAGGTTGGTTGTAGTCACTTTCTTGTATACAGAAACAAAGAAAAAGTTTCTTTTCGTTTGTTATTTAAAAGTGACAAATCAAACTGACAATTAGGTGCACAACAATTCCTTGGTTAAGTTAACTGGCTGCAAAATTCTAGAATGACAAGTGAATAGAATGAATCTACAGCGAAACACTGACCTGTTTCTAATGTAGTCTGCACATCCTTCAGCTAGTACTGCCAGAGCTATTAGTGCTGCTTTCCTATGATATGGGTCCTCACTGTTAAGAGCTGGCGTGACAAACTGCATCTATGTGATTATCAAAACTTAACCCTTTACTTCAAGATTCAACTAAGGAGACATGAAGTACTAGCTCTAACTTTTGAGTCTAAGAATCAAATTCATAATATTCAACCTCTTCAGTTATCGAAATCGGTCAAATTTCTCATAATTAAGTATAATAAATAAATTGATCTTGATGAAATAATCCGCCGCTTTGCAAGGCTTCACCTGAGGAGAATGGAACTGGCCAATTTCCTGCCTGAATGACCCAGAAACCCAGGAAAGGGGACTTCAGAGAGTTAAAATCCAGAAAAATTTCAAAGGGGAGCACTTCTTGCACCTTCAGCGATCGTTTAGGAAATTGGTCAGTATTTATCCTACATCCGTGCCAGGATATCTTCATTCTGTTACACTGGAAATTGTTGGCCTGACAAAATATAATAAACATAATTTATTGACTCACCAGGGGTGGAATAACAGACTCGGGAGGAAAATGAAGGGCAAGAATATCCAGAACCTGACAAAAAACAATCATAGTTCAGCAAAGAGCAACATTTTTATAGCTCGGGGTCAAGAACAACAACAGATTTAATTCACATTAATAAATGTTAGGATGAAGAATAGAGCTGACAGCATTGTCATAGAGGTGGAAGGCGAGCACCAGCTTAAAGGCCCAGGGATTACAATAATTTGGGCAACAGTTTGTTGGTAATGGCTGAATGGGAAGGGTGTGGAAGTCAGCACTGGGTGACAGGAGACCATACAAACATGTAGCCATTGTGACACCTGAAGGAGGATCATGACGTTATGCCTACATTAAGATCTCTCCACCCAGCCCAGGAAAGGTTGGCCACACCACCGGAGTCTAAGTCCCCTAATCTTTTTTAACAGTGGTGTGGGTTCTTTTACATCGTACATATTACAAGAACCAGTACATGAAAGTGCTGTGAAATGGGACCAACAGTTTTTCATCCTTATCCGAGAAGACTAGACGGTCTAACCGTTTGCAGATGTCATTACAAAGGCAACACTTTCTTCTCAGTTATTTAAAGACCCTGAGCATTGATCCAGCCGGGCTTTGAACTCACAACCTCCTGCTCAGAAGACAAGTACCATACCAGTAACTAGCTTATACTGAAACTCCTGTACTGGCCCAAATGCAAAACAACCACTTCATCCTCACTCCCTCAAATTAGTAGTTGAGAGAAAAAGCTTGATAAAGAATAATTAAGAGGAAATTTAAAGGATAGCGATGCGCTTTACCTGTGATGCTACAGCACAAGGTCGGCTGGCTTCTGTTCCATCCTCCACTTCATCATCTTCTTCTTCCTCATCAAAATCACCATCTTCATTTGGTGGCGATGCCATAAGAGGGAAGATAACTGATAAGGTTGGCAAGAGAAGTTTGTTCTTTACCAGTGCCTGTAATGAGCAAAATTATTTTGCCAAAGGATAACCTTTAGGATTTTCCACTAAAACAATATTCATACCATAATGTCTCTACTCTTAAATTTCAAAATCTTTTGATTCTCATATTGAGGAAGAAACCATAGTATTAAAATACATGTACCATTGTATTTGCACTTTTTTATGTCAGTGGCACAGTTTTGATCCTTACCCATCTTTGTGTCATTTGCCCTTTCAGCTGTTTTTCATCAAGCTGTTTTATGGCCATTTCTTTGTCACAATTTTAACATAACAGTACCTTCTACCACAATGATTTAAATCTGCATCCAAACTTAAACCTATCTTAAAACTTACCTAGCATGGAATAACCAACAGTTCTTACTTTCAAGGACTTTCAAACATATCATGAAAAAAGAAAACAGGAAAAATCTAATTAACCCACCTTAGGTTTTATTCTTGCAAGCCAGCTCACAAAGTGGAGAGCTTTTATTCTTAAATTGTCTCCTAAAGATGAATTACTAGCAATCTGCAAAAAATTTTGCATATCAAGGAAGTTAAAATATAAATGTTGTGGTTCAATTATTCATGCGTGGTTTAAATTCCATTTTCTATTGTTTCAAAGTTGTTTTCATAAATGCATCGCCATACCCCAAAACAAGGGAGAATAGAATTAGATAAGAGACAAAAACAGAAACAAAACAAATTCTTCACAAGGGATTGACAATGAGACGGATATTAAAGCCAGGGAAATACGTTGGAATTCCAAGTCATTTAGGCAGAGTATTGCTCCCAGACATGAGCTATTTTCATTCACCCTCTTGCAAAAACTGATCAATTATGCCATGAATTTATCACACTGTAAATAAAACATTCAAGAGGTCACACACCTGAAGACAGAACTCAATCAGAGCTTTCACATGGGGAGTAACAATACTGACTTCAGACTCCACCAGTTCATCAAATATTTCCATTGCATCACATGCTTTATCCTGAATAAGACAATAACGCAAAAAGTATCAATCATTAAGGGAAGAAAGAGTTGCTCAATCCAGTCATAATGATATTTAAAGTAAAAAAGGTTTTAAATCCCAGAAATTCCCACAGTTAAATAGCCAAAGAAACCAAAGCAGCAAATGTCACTAGCCAATGAAATTTTATTCTCTAGCCCATATGCTAACCAATAACATAATCAAAGAAATAAAGATGACTTTTAATTTGAGATAGGTTTCTGATAAACTGTTACATTATTTAATTTGTCCGTAAATTATATAATTTGTACACTAAACTGGAAAAATATTATTGATTGGTAAAAGGATTTTGTGATGTATAATCAAGGGGTTATCAGGCTGGTAATTTCAAAACGGGCCTTGCGCTATGTGCTTTGTTGATTTGACACTGCTCATCTGATTACTTCCTGAATTGTACTCCACTCAATTCTATTATGACAACAAATTATAGAGAGAAATTAAAGATACAGTTACAGTATGGCTTAAATGGATAACAAGAAGTACAACCTACCTCATCTATGGCTATAATTTGGTTGATGAATCCCACAACTTTTGGTACAAGTGGTCTAACTAAAGGCTAAAAAGTAAAACCAAAAAAAATTAAGGGAGCATAATCTTAACATGACCACTAACAACTTTCTGTATCCAAGGAAATCCAAAGAACACAGAACTATGAAAGAGCTGGTGAGCAAGTAAAAATTAATAGGATCTAATAGAGTTAGAGACTTAAAAGACTATAAATACTCTTATGACAGCCTAATGTCTCCTAGAATTTCCAACAGTTTCCTGGCAAAGGCTCCATCTCCCTGTCGCCTTAACCCTTTAAGCCCCCATCATCAGCATACAAATTCTCCTGACTGATCTCCATACATTTCCTTAAAGGATTAGTTGGGAGAATTTGATAAAAGATCAAAGCATTTTTGATTCCCATTGGCAATCAGTTTATCAATTCTCATAAACTTTCTCTTGATTGTATATTGAAAACGTTGGGAGAAAATTGATATTAATATTGTCACTTTTGGGCCTCAGAGGGCTTACACTAGACACAGATATATCTATCAGATTTGCCAACAATGAATAGCAGGACTCCTCATTCCACAGAATAACGCTTAAAGTGCATTATTGTACACCTTTTAAATGACAAGTTTTCAAATCAAGATTGCTTGACTCTTATGCCAGGGCACTTGCAGCTGTCAAAGAGATGTCATGAATGCCAGTATTTTATAACTGTTGCACACTTCATTAATCACACTGTCACTGAAAACTCATTAAACATTTATATAATATTATTGTGGAAACAAAAACTTACAATTTCTTCAGTTCCAACACATTCAATAAGACATGTCAAGGCTCTGTTGTACAGAGAAAATGATTAATTAAGAATGGTCGTCAATTGACACTATTTAGAGTACACTGAGAGAATATGAAAAAAATCGGTGTGCACAATAATAATAACAATAGTGATAGTGAGACTGATGATAATGACGATGACGATGACGATGACGATGACGATGACGATGACGATGACGATGACGATGACGATGACGATGACGATGACGATGACGATGACGATGACGATATACCCCTAGTCATAAGCTACATTGATTTAATACTGAAGTGCATAATTAAGATTCTGGCTGCTTAATATATGCAAAAATTTGAACAAGAAACAAACTTTCACCTTATAGTGTAAAATGGTACCAATTTGCTTTCTTGATCCTCTAGTGTACTGGAGAAAAGTTGGAGGAGTGAAGGGAAGTGAGGTCTTAACTGCTCATTAGCTGATTCAGTAATGGAACTCAGAAGAAACATACCCATCTAAAAAGAATGAACCAACAAAAGCATTTGGAATAGATCAATAATCTTATTAAGAGTGAAAAAAGGATTTTCAAATATCTTTTCAAGGTATTCTAACATAAGGCAACATTTCAGATGTCATGGGGTGTGTTCAACTCTTGTCAACACTGTACTTGGCAAAACATTGTTGAGACAAAAAGTCAACAAGTTTATACATAATAATTATCGTAATGTGTAATTTTCAAGTTAGAAGAAAGAGCAATATTGATTACAGACATGCAGCTAACCTCTCTCTGAAGTGGCTGTTGTGATTTGATGTATTGTCGAAGAAAACCAAAAAGCTCTGGCCACTGATTTGCTGGTAGATCATGCTTTGCCATTACACTTACCTAACAAATGATAATAACATAAATTATTGTCAACATACACCATCAAAGACAAATTGAAGTACCAACAGATTTTCTTAACTTTTTATTTTACCGATGATTTTAATTTTTCTCAGCAACATCCACATCATGGCATGTTATGATGTTAACTGTTGTTAACTGTTGGAAATTCCTGTTTTTAAATAAAGCTCAAAGCTCCCACAGACAAACACTTCCAAAAAGCAGAAAGTGTCTTCATCTGAAGAACTTTGTTTGTTACTCTGTTAATTACAATAAAATGCTTCTAACAAGAGTTCAAACTTAACGAGATTCTATCTAGGGGGTCAGGTACTGGTCAATATACAGTCAACTTGCTACTTATGTCCAGGGACCTCTTATAGAGAGAAAATAACTAAAAAAACTAAGGAAAACAATTATGTACGCTTTCTACAACCAAAGACCATAGACACTTACTACTTGTGCTGCAGAGTTCCTGACAACTGGCCTAGAAAAATCATAAAGAAAAATACAAGAACAAATTGGCCAATGTCAGCATAAAAATGATGATGGGTTGTCTGGAATAAAGCAACATGGGACTTCTGATAAACTGCTTTACATTCCTCATCAAAATTGCAACACCCTCACTCTTAAAAAGAAGGGAGACAAAGAGTCACTTGAGACCTCCTGTACATACCCCTTAATGAGAACAGAAACCAAGAGGACCCGCAGTGGTGATTACTCTGTATTGTAATATTAGTGAAGTCAAGGCATTATCTTGAGCAACAGACAGTAACCAAAAGTGGACTTTTTGCATTCTTGGGCAGTGGTTTGCCCATATTTTTTCAGCAAATCACCTCTACAAGAGAAAAGACTCTCAGAAATACAGATGAGGTAGCATCAAGGCAAATTAAAGGGCAAATTAAGTCCTCACTTTTGATTGATGTCCATCGCTCAACAAATTGCCTGTTCTTAAGCTCCCTATTGTCTGTTGTTAAAGGAGAGGGGACAGCAATTTCTTCGAAGTGATCCATGTCACGCAAACATCTAGCCATTGGAAGAATAAAGGAAATGCCTTCTTCCTCAGTTATTTTTAGAGCCTATAAAGTATTATTCCAGCCCTTGAAACTAAACCAGTGACACCCTGCTATGCAGATGAGCACCCTATGAGCTGATCTTTTCCTGCTATGGTTTATTTCTGAGTCATTCAGACTGTAGACTAATGCTTAGTGTGTCAGTATGTCTGCTAACATCAGCCAAAAAATTGTAATAAAATGTGACTTACTGAGGTTCTTGAAGTAACACTTGCAAAAGAGACTCCCTTAACCTGGGACCAAAAAAAAAGCAATATAAAAGTATATTATTATAAAGTTTTCCAGTATTTTCAATGTGCTTTATCTAAAACACTCAAACATCTCTTTGGCATGATTTATTTTGTCTTCATCAGTGATTAAATTCAACTGACCGTTGAGATCAATATACAATCTCATGTTCACATAATCTGCCAGATAACTTGGTGGCGGAAGTAGAGGACGGGCCCTGAGAGCTCAGATCAGCACCTCATTTTCAGGCCAAAATGAGGGTCTCAGGGTAAAGGGAAATGTTTTTGTGAGTGCTGGCCCCCTCCTTACCTTAGGGTCTAGATGAGCAGTCCCTCAAAAACCTGACGGTCTAGACCTGCCACTGCAACTTGCAGTTCTTAAAGCAAAAGGATCTCTGACATATTGTAAACAACAAAGTATGTTCAGTTAAATGCTGAATATGTGTTTTTGACTGCACCACTGATGATGAACAAATTTTTGGCTTATGGCCGACCTGCAAAATTTTTTTTCGTGGAAACAATGAAAGTAGCAACAAACATTATTTCTATGATATGAACCAATTGATTCAGTCTTGCCAAGTGCAGATAATAAGATGTTCTACCGTAGATGACTTTAAATGAAACCACGGTCTTATACCAGTGCATCATTACTGTAATTCCTAAAAAGTGAGTGATTACTCACATGGTATGAACCTCAGGTGTGAGTTTTGTCCATTGCTTAACAACTCTTCTCCTTAACAAAACTGCAGCATACTGTCTTACCTGTAAAAGAGTACAGAAAGTAACTCTGTAACAGGTCAATAATTATTGACCTGTTAAGCATTTTTTTCTGGACAGTAAGCCACCTGTAAAAAAGAAATATCACTCTGGAAAGACTTTAAAATTCCTGGCGAAGTCACAACAATCTCATGATAAAGTACAGCAAGATCATGAGTTCAATAACATGGAAATAGCCAGACAGGTAAAGTCAAACCTCCCAGAAGGTGACCAACCCACGTGCTAAGAACTGCAGGTGGCGGCTTACAAGGAGTTCTAACTTCAATTCCTATTGCTTTGACTGGGAAATATGATTTTGGGCAAGACACTCATCTGTGAGAGGTGGTTGCACATGAGTTTATTAAATGGCATTATTTTATGACACCTTTCCTAAGAAACAAGGTATTACCATCAAAAAGCAAGAAGTCCTAAGTCCACAAATTTTCTCAAGGGACAGGGGCAGTAATAAAGATAAACATTGTTAACACATAATGAGAACCAGTGTGGTCTCAAGTTACATAGCAAGCCCATCATTTAGTTCATTTAGTTCAATGTAAATGAAATATAAATAGCTACGATTTCCCCTGTATTTCCGGCCTCTATATTTCCTCCACGTGGTGATTTACGGCGAGTTATGACCGGATTTGTTTTAGAGGAAGGACACAGCCTGGAGATAAAACTTTCAACTTCAAAGATCTCAAGTAAGAACCGCAAAAATCGATCATCTTGATTACTCTTGACCTTATAGCTTCACAATATTATTGTTTTTGCCGTAAAAATAATGACATGCAATATTGGTCATATGTGCGAGAATCATTAATTAGCAGATTAGGTCACATAACCACCATGAAATCAGGATAAATCACGTATAGTTCACAACACGTCAAGTCGCTCAAATGAGGAAGATTTCGGGCAAATGAAGTACAATTCACCTGAGGATTTTGAGACGATCCTAGCACCGTGACGAGATCCGGAACAACTGCAGGGTTTTTGAAGGCCTCGCGCAGTTGAGCAGTTGCCTAAAAATAAAAGGAATGAATGCGGCAAATTGACAACAAATTCAGTGAAAGATGAATTAAACGAGGAATGTCTGTATTACTTGTTGTATCACTGTATTGTCGGGAATAAGCAGTTTTTGCAGAATTTCCTCCAAATGCGCCATGTTCTTGCAGTTTTCGCGACATATACGCCCGCGATACATATGGACAATAGTCACGCGCGAAAGAAGAGAGCTCGCGAGGCTCCGCGAGATATCGATATCCGGATAATCGATAGGCTACATGGCCAAACGGGTAAAAGACATTTTTAACAAGAATTAAAACATTGAAGAAGGAAAAGAACTTTTAAAAATAGTAGCCTTTACTTTTCTACAAAAACGCAAAGGAGCGTCCAACGATTATAAAGAGCAATGAACGAGAATCGAACGAAATCCGTTTCAGATAGAAAACTATATGCGCGATGGATGATTCAAATGATTCGAATAACAATTATAGAAATAGCGTTATGGAGCAAACGATCTAGAAATTCATGGCCGATGAAAGAAAAAACAATTATTTTTCATTACCGAGGAAGAAGGTAAACGGAAAAAAAAATTCCTTCGAGCCGGATTCGAACCAGCGACCTAAGGATGACTTCATAACCTCTACAGTCCTCCGCTCTACCAACTGAGCTATCGAAGGAACACTCGAAAGCGAAGAGGCAAATTTAACAACTCATTCTAAAGGTCCTTAGGGGAAAAGAAAAACTAAACGAAGTGAAAGTTGAAACGGAAGAGAAGTGAACGAAAAAAATATGCAAAGTTACGGTTAACAAGAAAAAGTTTTCTTTGTCTTCCTTACCAGATTTCCGAAAGAAGCAAGGCTGAACCGTAAAGAAAATAAAGATTCCAACCCAGAGTGCTTTCAAAGTTTTTATTCGAGGAATGTCAAATAGACCTTGTCACTAGCCTGAAATTCATCAGATTGCTTCGAGTCGTTTTCTCCTCTCAACAACTGAGGGAGTAATAACGACTCGAAGTAATCGGATGAAATTCAGGCTACCTTGTCACGGTTTCGACGCCATCTTGACGAGTTAGGTAAATCTTCTTTTTTTTACAGAACAGTCGTTTTACGGAAATTATTCGACATTAGATTCTCATACAAACACCGTAATTTCTCACACTTTCGCCTACACTCGTCGAGATGGCATCGAAAACCGTGATAGGGTCTATTATTAGAAATTAAAGTATAAACAGAAACCCATGAGTTTCTGGTATAAATTTTATGTTCTGCTTAAACAAAATCCGTTTCCGTCCATGCATCTCGCATGTTCTTCTCTAGTCCACCTCACAGCCATTTTTTCTTTGTGTTCTTATGCTGTGTAGCAGACCCCCGGGGGAGGTATTTCTTCCCTTGTTCTTAAGAAAGTCACTCAAAGGCTGGGGGTGGGGGGTGCGGAAGGTATCGGTCAAAGCAAATGAAACGGGCCAGACCGGGCCAGCATGCAGAGGCAACCTCTACGATATTTAGGACTCCGTGTCAATCGATGGTGGAACAGGACGCAGCAGACTATCCTTCGCGGCCATTCTCTGTCTCTATGCGAAGAAAGACATTATTATAAGCCGATTCGCGTATGGATGGTGAGGATACAGAAGCCGTGAAAACGGGAAAGAGACTTATCTTGGTCAATAAAGAGACAAGCACACATGGGTTTGAACGCTGGGGCAAGCCTTAAAGACAAACTGGAGACAGGAGTAGTAGCTGTTGTGGTGTTTGTGATGAAGTGACGAGGGAGGAAGGGCTTGCACGCGTCACAGCCGAAAATTGTGGTTTCGCCGCGAAATTCCATGCTGTTGACATGTCACCCAGTTCTGGGTAGAGATTCGATTTCCCTCGAGGTACGACCAATCAGAAGTACTACCCAGATCCGGGTAATAACATGTCATCACTATGGAAAGTCTACGCTCGTTCCTCAGACGTCATTTCGTGGGAGTGTTGGCTGTTTTCTCAATTTTCTTTTACAAGCGTACTTACTTAGACTCTCGCCCTTACTGCGCCCACCCAACTTTCATTCCACTTAAAGAAACACAATGCGTCGTTTGTTATAAAAATGGACTTTATTTTTCAAGGGAAGAAGTGAGGTCTTGGCAAAATTTCCACAACTTTCCCCTAGTTAAAGCACACTGACAACAGACAACTACACCCGTGCAATTTATTAGTTCAGTCAGTTTACGTAAAACGCATACCCAAGGACTAACCGTAATATACAACATATACAGCAGAAAACGCTTGGTTTTCTTTTTCTAGTGAAACTACAAAAGTGAAGCCCTAACCTTTGAAAAGACCAAGGGAATGCACGTTTAACCGAATGCAAGACCTAAGCGAAATGAGGTTGGGAAGCTTTCACAGGGCTGGTCAAGATACATGATGCCCATAAACTTTCTACAATTGCATTATTCTCAATGAAGTAAATCTTCAGGGCATGGTTACATCAGACGAATGGATGTCCTCCCAGTCACAATCAAGAAGTCTTCATCTCGCAGTATCTTGAGAGCATCTTCAAACTGTTCGCGGGAAATGGGCTGAAATAAATTGAAAAGAATTAGGGAATGGTTAATAATGTATCTGTTTACGAATCAAACGATGAACTTTCTTTACCTTTTGCACTGAATTACTAATAATTGCACAGCAATTTTTTAAATTCTTGCCAAATAAGTAATGGCAGTGCTTCACTGAGCTATGTGTAAGTAGACTCAACAACAATGCTAAGGCCTTTATTTAGATGGAGTTGACTGCTATTACCACACCAAGTTGTCAGAGGGTGAGTTTGAACACTTTTCCTCGGAAAAATGCTGCGATCAGTGTGAGCCCCGGGTGTTCACCATGGTCACGTGGTGAGCAGGTTTTTTTGGAAAGTAAACAGTTCACAAAGACGTCCGAAGCTAGCCTGGGAAAACAGCAAACATTTCGCGACGCTACCACTGGTATCCCGCGAAATGACGACGGCTGTAGAAACTCCATACTGATGACCTGTCACTTACCACATCTAGGAAGTGCTTCTGATTGGTCCGTGCCGCGTGGGAATTTTGCTTCAACCAATCAGATGTCATTTCGCAGGGAAACCAGTGCTTGTGTCGAAATTTGGGCGTGAAAGTCTGAGTGAGATTTTTTTTAAATTCAAACTTTGAATGTAGCTGAGAAGTTTCACTCACCAAATCAGAACCTTCTCGTAGTTCTTCGTAAGTTTGTTGGTACTTGACACTGGGTGTTTTGCCTTTGCTTAGTAACAGTTCCTTCAGAGCCTTGGCAATTTCAAGCCGACGTTTTCTGTCTGACACGCTCAAGCCAGTTGTTAGGATATTGATATCTATCAGCCCTGTTTTGGGGTCTGTGGCTGATTGTTTCAGAGCTTCTCTGTGAAGTCTACAGGCAAGAATAGAACAGAATCATTATTCAGGTGTTAACTGAAGAAACAGAGCTAATATGCATGAAAATTTATATTTCCTTTTTTTCTTACTTTTCAATGAAATATTTCGTTGACAGCTTGAAATTGGCCTTCGCTAAATTAATGTCAAATTCAGAAAACCGTGAAGAGAAAAGGTCAAAGGACATGCTAGAAAGCCACAAACCAGAAACTAAAAACCACTGTCACTTGTGGTTTACTTTTCTCGTGCCTCATTCGGTAGCTCTTCCTTGCAACACAACTTATTCCAATAATATTTTTATGTTTACGGTTATCCTAGTTTCAAATTGAATATGTAAACTTTAGTGCTCTACTCAAGTTGTTACCCTGGTCTTGTAAGTAAGAGCAGTCGCTATGAGAACCATCCAACAGGTCAACATAGAAAGGCAATTTGTATAGGTTTTATAAGACGTTTCAGAACTTTTAAAACCCGTAGGGACTATGAAATGGGTATGGAGACAGACTTTCACAAATGCTTGGACTTAAAATCCTTTTTCCCTGGGACTTGAAATTATACAGATCAGTGTGCAAAGAAAGGCGTGTTTGATACCGTGAGGTTAGTGGATTTTGCTATCGGGCTAGTTAATTGACTTAATTCGGTTCTTAACTTGCCTGATGGGTAAGGGAAGTTTTTCGGAGAATTCAAATTACAGAAGAACTGTTATCCTGCTTATCAAAAATTCTTTTTGAGCTTGAGCATGAGCATGCTAGCACAGCTTGGCCGAATGGCTGACTTTCTTTGCAGCTTTTACCTTCTAGCTTCCTCCACATCCACATTTTCAACTTTTGATGACAGCCTCATCCTGGCATGGGCTTCCGCCAGGCGGATCAGAGACTCAAGCTGACGAGGATAAGCAGTGACTGCACCACGGCTGCTGCCAACCTGACGCATTTCTGTAAAAGGAAATATACAGTATTGGAAATTTTCTGGCTACTATTTTCCAACATTTACAACAGTTACAGTTAATGGAAGTATGTCACGAATTGAATTTCAAAATCTCTTCAAAATAATGGTACACTTTAGTCATTTCAGACTATATTTAGGCAATGAAACTGTTTCCTGTCATCTATTCCTGCGGATGACAAGGATGAACATGGATTTGAAACTTGAAAGGCTGGGTAAACTTTGTCAAGTTTTACTGCTATGCCAGCAAAAATCACTGAAGAAATTATTATGGTTAGTTCTGCCTGATGAAGTTTGTTTGATATCTTCTTCACAACTCTACAGGAGCATTTTGTGTATGGGTAAAGGTACTAATTAATGACTTCAGCACAGAATTGACCTCAAACAGCAATATCCTCATGACATGGCCCTGTGAAATTCCTCAAGATTTGTTGACATTCAGGGTCTCAAAACTAATACAGTTGAACCTCTCTACAATGGCCACCTTGGGGACAGAAGAAAGTAGCCATTGTAAAGAGGTGGCCGTTGTAGAGAGGTTGAAACAAGAGTGAATGAATGAACTGTCTGCAAAAAGAATTGGCCATTGTAGAGAGGTGGCCGTTGTTGAGCGATGGCCATTAGTAGAGGCTCGACGGCACAGTGAAGTCAGTTACACATAAAACATGGATGGACAAGGGAAAGAGCCTGTTCTACATGACACTTAAGAATCTGTCTTTACTAACTACCGGGCATCTTTAAATAAGTGGGAGTGGGTGGAGAGGAATAAATGGTTCAGTTCTTTACAAATACTCTGGTTCATGGTCCATTGGGGAGTGAAAGAAAGAAAAGGGTTTTATCAACAGACTTGATATCATAAATTGGCCTCGATAAAGTGATTTCAAAACTGATGCTAGAAATTATGGTCCATTAACCACAATCACTATTACAAAGTTTGTAGTGTACACTTTATATATTTGGTAGCAGTTTTCCATCATTATTCACAAGAAAAGAACATGCATGAAAACAGTTCCAAAGTCTTCCTGCGACACTCCCAGGCTGTGTTTCTTACCAACATAAGCTTGGATGAGATATTGGGCGGCTTCTTCACTCAGTTTTGGATTCACATATGACCGTGCATAAGCAATGTAGTCTTTCAAAATATTCATGTCCTGAAATAAAATATTAATCATGGTTTAGTGAATGGAAGCAGGAAAAGGAAAGTATGGTGCTGTGTTACTGGAAACGTTCTTTGTTACTTTATAGTTTGATGTTGTCTGGCACAGTTAGGCAATGACACATTTTTTGGTGCAAAATGAAATACCCCAGATGGTGCAAAACACAACCAGAGAGAAGTAGAAAAAAAATCTTGTTTTGCTCACCAGAAATTCCTCTTCTTCCTCCTCTTGTGTCTGATGGTACAGGGACACCAAATGAGTGGCAAGTCGACGATCATAAAACTCATCTTGAGGATCAAGCATCAAAAAGATCAGATCAAATCTGAGAGAATAAACAACAGAACACAATGTTAGAATATAGTTACTGTATATACAGGATTGGATTTCACAGGGCATTATGCACCATTGTAGGTCAAGGCTTGAAAGAGAAACATGCAACATTAGCCACTCAGTAACAAGTTTAACTGCACACCATACACAGTTGAACCTCCCGAAAGCAACATCCCGAAAAGCTAAGATTTAGTGTTCAACTGCAGGAGATAGTCACTTGTGAGATTTAAACTGCACGAATGTCTTTTAAGAAGACGTACCTGAGAAAACTACTTTTGGGTAAAGAATTTATTATATGTAAATCCCAAGTTATGATATGTATAGATCAATGTTGCCACTTAAAGCTCTTCGCACACTCTTAGTAGCATAGTACACACTGCGAAAATAGAGATCAGACTTTAGGTGAAGTAGTCACCTACAACAGGTGAAAAACAATGGAAATTTATAGAACCCTCAACCAAAACTGTGGCTGTGGTCGCTTACCAGAGGTTACAACAACAGGGCTTTGACTGGAAACATTTTAGTGCTTTGGATATATGGTCGCTTATGGCAGGTAGTCGATTATGAAAGGTGGTCACACATCAAGGTTTTAATGTATCATAAAATGAATTTTAATTCACTGTGCTCACCTAGAAAGCAGGGTGTGGGGTAACTGAATGTTTTCTACAGTTGTCATTTTAGGATCCCACTGTGATTTCACAGGATTTGGTCGACGGTCCTAACTACAAGAACGTAAGTTGACCGTCTACTACGGTCGGAATCGATAACTGTTTCAAACAACAAGGAAACTTCTTTCATTCTTTATTGTTTAGAAGTCAATTTGTCCTAGTGTACCTTTTCAAAAAGATACTTTGAATTCAATGAGTCTGGGAATTTTCCTCGCTGATTTCCTAATAACATTTTTTATTTCTGTAGTGTGTTGTTCTTCTATGATGTGTATTTTTTAACCCTTTAAGTCTCAATAGTGACCAACATCAATTTTCTCCTAACGATTTCCATACAATGTCAAGAGATTAGGTTATGAGAATTAATTAATTGATCACCAAAGGGAAAAGGCTTTGATCTTTTCTCACATTCTCTCAACGTATTCTTAAAAGAAATGTATAGAGATCAGTTTGGAGAATTTGCTTGTGGATATTGGCGCTTAAAGGGTTAAATAAAAAAACATGACACCTTGTTATTATAGACACTTTCTATGGCCCCCTTAGTGTCCATATTAATGGGGTTGACTGTATTTTCTGTTATTTCACATATTAAAATACAGTTGTTTGCCATTATGAAAGTACTTACCATGACCTCATGAAGAACTGCTCTGGTGCTGTCATTCATCTTGTCAAACTCATCAATGCAGCAGATACCATTGTCACTCAAAACAAGTGCACCACTGTTGGGAAAGAAAAAAACATTCAGAAACCAGGTAAAGAGTCCGGGAATTTTTCAAGGTCTGAACATAAAATTGTCATAACTAGGGGCAGCAAATGGTAGAATCAGAGACTTGCCAACAAACCAAGGCATTTCTTTAAAGAAATGCAGGGAAAATTTTAAGACTGGGAGACAGTGAGAAACACACGTTTCAGAGAAGCCCTATAAAAATACTTTTGGGACCTCAAATCTGATAAAATTTTCTAAAACCTATAATTTTCTGGCTACCATTTGTCACCACTATGACTGAATAAGTATAAGTTAAGGGTGTTTGGAGACGAAGGACTCACGTCTGCAACACCAGTTGTCTAGTCTCTGGGTCTCTGGTGACATAAGCCGTCAGACCCACGGCAGAGGAACCTTTGCCAGAGGTGTACTGTCCACGTGGAACAAGGTTATGCACATACTGAAAAAAAACAACAACAACAATCAAACAAATGCTTTGTTGGTACAGACTGTTTATCGTCTGAAGCTCTTAAATTTAAGTCCACCAACTACTAAGAGGCATTTGTTAAAAATAAAGCTAAATTATCACTGCAATTCCAAGACTGTGCTTTATGAAAAACTGACGATAGCCCAGATCAATGAGCCTTAATCAAATCTTAAGTCAGTCAGTCAGTCAGTTAAGGGTCACCTCCTTCCACAGTCAGATCATTTCATACCAGATTGTTCCACTGGGATAACTGGAATGACTGAAAAGCCTGGAAAGACAGGGATGAGTGTGATGAATGGGATGCCTAGGGTGACTGGAATGACTGGAAAGACAAGGGTGACTGGGGTGACTGGAATACTTAAATTATCAGGATGAACAGGCTGACTGGGATGAATTGGGGGACTGGAATGACCATGGTGGATTACTGGGATGAGTACGATAACTAGAGTGATTGGGATGACTGGGATGACTCGGGGGAATGATATGACTAGGGTGGATTACTAGGATGACTAGGGTGACTTGATTTATTGGGATGACTAGGGTGACTGGGATGACTGGAACAACTGGGATGATAAGGATGTCATCCCAATCCAATCCAGGTGGCCAAGCATGAGTTTGGTGAAAACAGTACAATTTTCTAGTCACCCAAGAGCCAAAGTAAGGCAACACAGGCCTAGAGGCATTCCTAGACTACAACCCTGAATACCTGGAGCAACTGTGATTTGCTTGTGCCAGGATCACCACAAAGAAGAATGTTTATTTCTGACCTAAAATGAGAACATGGACTGACATCAGAAACAAAACAAGCAACTTTCACAAAGTTTTTTTTAACATTAGGAGATAGAGAAATAATTTGTATGCATATCTTATTAACTACTGACCTAAACTTTCCTCTCCCAGTGTCAGAAAAGTCCTTGTTTGCTCCTCCAAATAGCTGACAAAGGATTCCTTTTTTAATATCTTCATTTTCATAAATGCTTGGGGCTACAAAAAGTGCAAGATGACAGTCACTGCATGGCTAAAATTCACGACTGATTCATAACAATTCAAAGCAAAGCAAAATGTTTGAGAAACATTGAGAGAAAACTTTTATCTTGTCTCTGTGAAATAAATCTATTTTCTTGAAAACTTTGATTGTAGACAGATTTCATCCTTGTTTTATTTACCCAGTGCTTTGGCAAGTCTTTCATAAATATCAGGTTGTTTTGCCAGCTGCTGCAGTTGCTCAACTCTTTCCTGAGTAAATGTCACAACACTGAAATAAAATAAAAGATAACATTAAAATATGGTCAAAGACAGTTCAGTTTGTAACTCAAACTCCTCACGATCCAATACATGCAACAAAGTTTCGTTATTGTCTTTTGGGCAGTGCTCTTGAGTAATGGAATGGGCATGGAATTGATTTCAAGTAATGAAGTGGCAGGATTATCAGCTGCAGTGGAATGCTGGCTTGTGGCCACCCCATTTATAAAACCACCTTGTTATTGAAACCATATTCTTTTGATCCAAACACAAAAAAACTGAGTCATTATATCATTTTTAAGACCTGGAAAACAAGACCACCTCATTATTTTGACCCCGATTTTATAACCCAGTGGTGTTCATTTAAATGGGGTTCCAATGACATTCAAGCAAAACAAAAGCTAAACACAGACTGTAACTCCATTTCATACCCATCAGGATCTTTGGAATAAAGCCTTTTCTTGTCTGTCTTCTTGAAATGGATAACATCGATGTATGTCTTGTAAACAGCCTTCACATTCCGCTGTCGTGGGTTGACACGCATGGGTGTGGCTCTATAAATTCCTGTCACCGTCACTCTAAAAAGAGGGAAACAGCTTTAATGAAGGATCAACAAAAATTGGAATGGTAATTGACCGAGTACCATGTGGCTAGGGATTTTTGCTGGAGTTTATTTTTACAGATTAGTGATTTTTGGTGTTTTGCAGGAACTAATTTCTGCATTCAGGACAGACTGGTTTTCCTTGCTGGGAATTGATTTTTGCACTTTTCAGAAAGTCCCAGCCCCTGCACATTGAAGATATTTATTTTTATTGAGTATGTGCAATGGAAATACAAATTTTCAAACAATACTACAGTGTAAGCACCTTATGTAAAACCAGTATTCATTGTATACCATTTTGTTTCTGAATGAAATAGCCAAGTTGTAATAGAACAGACACGATTTCTTAGTAATGTATTTCCAGTAGCGAATTTAAGTTAGAGAATATTTACTCTGGAGTAAATTTTCGCAGGAAAATTGTGTAACGTCATTTTTATCTGCGGAAATTTTTTTTTGCGGATTGCTGGAAAAATCGCAAAAATTAGAGCCCAAAAAAATTTCGTGCCACTCGGTATGTAGTCTACTTTCAAGCAAAATTATTAAGAAGAGTACATACCTGTCTCCGGGTTGCACTGCATCCACTAAATCATTGTGTGAAAAAAGCATGATCGTGTGTGGAGTCTGACCAGGAGGCATATCATCTAAAGAAAACAAGAAAATACAAAATGAGATTCAAAGAAATGTTCTTCAGCCATCAAGGCAAACTGGACATAAAATTCATATTAAAATGATAACAATGATAGGCAACCTGGAGATTCCTGCAGCTTGGTGATTTGTTTGTCTGTGTACTGCGATCTGTTGTGAATCAACACCATACTGTGATTTGTGTTGCAGTTACGGCACAGGGCAGGCTCAGAAATGCGACCACGATCGATTTCTACAGTCACTGAAGCATGGCAGACATAGCATTGAAAGAATGCTAAAACCAAAAACAAACAGAAATTTTATCACTTTTAATGAAACAGGAAAAGAGGCAGCTTTTCAGTGCGGTGTCATGTTGCAACTATTAATAATGGAAAACAAAGAACTGAAAGGAAAACATTTAATCACATCCACACCATTAGCTGGATGGAAAACAGCAGACAAATTACCAAGAGAATGGCCTTACTTCTGTCAATATGGACAATTTGTGTAAAGAGATCTAAGGATATAAGACATTTTAAGGAGCTGCCTAATAACATCAATAACTTACTTAACCAAACACGTTTTCACAAGGCTCCGATTATAAATTAGAAAGCTCACAGCATTATAATCCTAACCTTCCCTCATCTCTGGTATGACTTGAGATGTTCGGATCACCATTCCACTGATTGTAATAAGAGTATCAATGTCTAAAAATTAAATTGAACACAATGAGCGATAAAAATTACAGTGAAACACACAGAACTGTGAACATCAGAAATATTAACAGAATGTTACTTTGTTGTAAGGAAAAAGCCAATAAGACTTGAAAAACTAAACCAAAAACAGCAATGGTGATTAGTTTGTGGTTTTGAGGCTTTCTCATGTATCCTGAACTTAGAAGGCTATTTTCAAGAAGACAACTTTTGACCGGAATTCATTTTGTTCTTGCTTTCTTATTTAAATTTGGCAATCCAAGTGAAGTTTAAAAAACAATAGCCCTAGTTTGCACAATAAAACAACAAATTGAAGGAGTCTGGTAGATATAATAAAATGACATCATCATGCAGATTGTCGTGTTGTGATTGGTCACTACACAATCAACATTTCTGAAATTTGTGATTTTCCAAGTTTGACAGTAATATGTACTAATTTATTGCTGTTATGATCAACTCCATGTAGCTACCATACAGCTACATTCCTGACAATCAAAATATAGTCTAAGTGCTGCTTAATTTAGTAAAACTACTCCAATAAATAGCAATTTTTTATTAATAACTTCTGTAAAAAGAAAAAACGAACTTGCCTTCTGGGTTTAGAGATCTCATGTTCTTTGTTTTGTCTACATTGAAAGTTCTGACCTAAAAAACACCACCAGACAAAATTAAAACACAAGTTAACATTTCTCTTTATCCTGGTTTAAAATGAACCAAGATCCATTTTCAATTAATAAAATGAAATAATCCACAAAACTTGGCTGGGCTGAAATTTTCCCCACTGTTATAAAAAAACACAATAAGCTATTTTGGGGTTGAAAAAAACTCTTTAAGGGAACACCTTTTCGGCACAACCAACCGACTGAGCTAGGTGGAAAATGTTACTTCTAGCTGTGTCAATAAAGGATTATTTATAACACCATTGTTATTCATGTCAAACTTGAATTTCCTGCTCCATTAATTTTGCTTGAAAAGGAACTTAATTGGTTTCTTTGTTTCAAATTTCAACACCACATCTTAACACCATCTCTTGAAAAATAAGTGCCAACTAGTGAAAAAATGTTTAGACCAGTCTTTGTTTAATAATCAAATGTCACATACAAAAATTCAGTAACTTTGAAGCACTTTCAAAAATGACCAAAAAATCAAGGTGTCATTCTTGCACTGAACCCTTCATTTGGTTTCTTTGTTCATAGGTGAAATACTTTTCTCACAGTACCTGGATTTGATGTTGGAGCTGTGCACCTGGGTACTTTTCAAAGAATACTTCATTAACAGCCATATCAAACGTAGGAATCACTTCTTGTGGATAACACACAAGCTGTCTGTATAAGTCGGCATCAAATGTCTTCAAGTGGCCACAGTCGATGTTCAAGAATGGTGTCTCCAGTACATGAATCTGGAAGTCAGGAGTTCAGTTAGTGTTGTCTTTCTTTGAGGTTGAACTTAAGTGACTTCTACACTGTAAATCAATGTGCCAAGAGTTCATCTATAAACAGTGACTTCAACTGCAAGGTTCAGCTTGAATTTAAAACATTCTTTTTTTAAAAGGTACCTTTCATACATGAATAGTTGATGCATTATTGCTAGCTGTGACAGGACTAACCTTTGAAGTCAGAACCTACCCTTGGAACCTAAAAGAGTGACCAAAATCTTATGGGTTCCCCTAATGATAACACTGCATTATTGTATAGAAGTAATGAAAACCAAGAAAACAATCAGTAAAGTTACTTCAGTGTCGAGAAAAGGTTGAAGATAGTGTGAAAAATATGCATGACAAAAATTAGACACGAAATTGTTAAGAGTCACAGCTCTATCAAGGCTGTGCTCTGGCAGTGGCCAGTGGCCCATGGCACCTAACTTTTGCTTCTGGGTGACTAGAGAATCATGGCTTTTTTCATAGAAATCATATACTGGGCACCCTGAGCACTGGGCTCCCACCAATTTTTCTTAGAGAACAGCCTTGTCTTTTGATGATTGACATGACTGGCCAGTTCAGCTCGTTATGCACTTTGCTACTTGCCTCATCAAGGCGCTGCATGTAAACTGGCAGAAGTGGATCAAAGCCTTCACCCATGTCCTCTGCTTCTTCATCTACAAACTGGGAGATAAACTTTCTAAACTTCTCTTTTGTCTCACTCACAACCACATCTGTTCCCCAGATGACCAGTGCAGGAGCTGCAGCAGCTGCATCACTTGTTGGTCCAGTAGGTTGGTCTGTGGTATCAGAAGGCTGAGAGGAGAAGAAAAATATGTATCTTGCATTTTGGAATTATGTGCTGTGTCTGGACGCTAAAAGGAGATTACATGCTTTCATACCGTAAAATTCCGAAAATAAGCCCCAGGGCTTATATTTTTCAAAGGCCCCTTTTGAGGGGCTTATTTTTATAGGGGCTTATATTCGGAGGGGCTTATCTACGGAGGGAAATTTGCGTTTGAAAATCGATTGGGCTCGCCTTATAGTTGTTTTTGCTTTGTTTTACTTTGTATTTGAGGGCAATTTCCAAGTACAACCCCCAGGGGGCTTAAATTTGGAGGGGCAATTTAACGGAGGGTTTTTAGCGTTACGAGTTTGGGGGGCTTATATTTGGAGGGGCTTATACATGGAGGGGCTTATTTTCGGAATTTTACGGTATTTTTATTGAAACCTTTCACTATACCTGCAATGATTGTAGCAATCACTGAGATAGTTAAAAAAACATACAGTGATGTGGCGATTACATGGATTACACTCTTCAATAACAGTAGCATCTCCCCTGTTCATTGTAACAAAGATCGTAGAGATAGACTCCAGTTCTGCTCTGAGGCAGTTCAGATTGCTGTTAAAAGAACTCTTCATCTATTTCATAAACTGATAAACAACAGGTTCAACACTAACCGGTTGATTGTCTCCAAGATTTACTTGACGCATGCGCCGATCACTGCGGATGTCACTGCGATGCCTAATGGGAGTGCCAGCACTATGCTTTGTTAAGGGAAGTAGTACTTTTCCCAAGACATATCATAGCAGATATTTTGACAGCTTCAACAGCTTTTAAACCCTCAACTACATATAACAATATCTTTCCTTGAAACTAGATCTATAAACTAACCTAAGACATTATTCTCAAAAGCACCTCAGGCTTTTCACAGGGCAGCCACTAAGAGGAGAGGGTTGGGAATTTCCCCTGGTTACTGTCATAGGAAACAAAGGGAAAATAGAGCCAAAAAAACTTCCTAGCAGTTCAATTCCAACCTTCTGATTGCAAATTGAAAATCTTGACAGCTCTTTCCCAGGAAACTGTAAATTTCACTTAGACCAACCAGAATTTAGCTATCACAACAAATGCTACATATTTAGCATTTTACTTTCCAGTGGCAAAAGAAAAAGGATACATGCTGCCACGAGGTGTACCAGCAGCCCTAGAGCTTGGCGTAGCATAATTCAATGGTGAGCTCAAGTCAATTTCACTAGTTTCCAGCCCTCCTCTGGTTTGAGGTGATGAGAACTGTGAGCGATCCTGGTCATGTTGTCCTTCTGATGGAGATGTAGGAGCTAAGGGTAGCGGAGAGGATGGCTCTTCTACACGACGGCGCTGAGAAGGAGGGGATTCCACAGGAGGGGCTGTTGGAGAAGTAGCACGTGAGCCCCTGCGGCTGCTACGGGTACTACGAGTACTAGCATTTGATGCATCAGAAGCTAAAAAGATATAAGTTTGTTAAAAGTTTTAGATCTGGCTTATAAAGGATTTATAGCTCAGGACATTTTAAATACAAGTTGGCTCATGGTTTGAATCTTTAAGGGCATCTTCCAGCCGGAAATGTCTTTGATCAAGTGAACAATTTCAATTCCATTTTAATTATCTCAATATTTTTGCAAAAGTGTACAAGTAATATAATGAACAATAAATAGAATATTTACGACCGAAAATGTATTAAGCTTATTTAAGATCTTTTCCTCCACCTCCCGCGTTATAACCTTAGATTTAACCGTTTACAAGCCAACTCACTCTCAGATGATTAGTATAGAACTATTTGAACGATGCCCGCGTGTGAAAATTGTCAGGAAACTTTCGCAGAATTTATGATTACGATCATCAAACCGAACTAAGTGTGCAAATTAGATCGATATATTTTTGCATTGAAACTTGCATTGGCGAAAATATCAACTGAAAATCTTATAATAGAATCATTAAGCTTTCAACAAGCTATGTCATTGTGAAATACATACGTGGTGGACTTGCTCTAGAACGCTTTCTTCCTCGCGGTGTCGAAGGAGCAGACATCTTGTTTCCTCGCTGAAAGCAGACTCACGTGTCAAAAAGCGCGGGAAATGAGTCAGGTGATATAGAGGCTCGCAAGGAATTCTGGATGAGCCCACACTCGGACAATCTTTTTCTTCTTTTCTGGTTCTTTTTCGATTCTTGGTAAGATGAGGTTTTGAACATTGCAAAAATTGGACTGTTGAATCGCACTTTTAACTCAAAGGGTCAGGTTGTTTGTCTTCTAAGGAAAATGTGACACCACGTCGATGTGGACCGTGATCGCTGAAACATATGGAATCTTACGCGTGTAGACATGATAAATTTTAAAAAAATAATCGATCACATTGTACGCCAGATACCAGCGGGGTGAAAACAAATAGAGACCTTTTTGAAGCTACAGTAGCGCAAGTTAACAATAAGGTTGCCACTTTCCCAGAAGAAAGATCAACTGCGAGCAGTCTCTTAACCGTCGAAGGAGAAAAAGTTTTTTTTTTTTCACGCACACAACTAAGAACTGCAGCGTGGAAGAATAAGGTTTGACAGCACCTGTAGCATGTTTGCTTGGCCATCATTCCCGAAGGATCCAGAAGAACTCCCAACTTGAGCAGTCCAGCTCTCAAGCAGACGCTCCTCACGCGTTCCTTCATCACGAGATGGATTGCGTGACAATCCAGAATGGAAGCTAGCAAACACATTGAAACTGAGTTCATTCAGGCTGCAGGCAGATCCAAAGGGGAATGACAATAACCTTTGTTCGGTGGCTTGCATTTAGTAAATAATTCCCCATGACTTCGCCAAACTTCTTGGTGCTGACCCCAAATGAGCTTAAATGCGGCAACTTTGGTTCGATATCAGTCGTCTTCCCAGGCCGGTCTTTGGATATATACATCATGGTTGAATGCCATATATTCGTCCACCCCGCGTGATCCTGGGGTAAATGACTATATGGTATTCAGCCATGACCTGAATACCCTGAGATCTAGACTTGCTACAAGTCGACCTAACCCTTTTTGAAAACCTTGACCGGCAGTCGAGCTGAAAAAAGTTCTGAGTGTCACAAAACACGGTTTCGTCTTCTGAGCTTAGCGTAAACCAAACACTAGACTCAGGGGCGGATCCAGGATTTTTTTTAGGAGGGGGTGCACTCGTCTCTTGCTCTACTTCAACACCAATAAACCACATACTTTTTTTTTTTCAGAATACCAGTTGTATTAGAAAACCGCAGGTCATCTCAGGGGGGTGCACACCCCCTGCACCTTCCCCCTAGATCCGCCCCTGAGACTTGAGATCTATAAGGCATTTCAGGATCGCTTGACTTGTCTTAATCGACATATGATAGTTTAGATAAGCTAGAATCTTTCGATTTTGTGAAATTTACCGAGAATATGGGACTGCCGGTCATTTAGTGTTTTTAACACATTGACCGGTTACCGGCGATATAGCCACAGCGTCAAAAAAAAAGACACCAACAATATTAAAATAAACTCCATTTATTGAACATAAATAAAAAAATGTAAAATAAGTTATCGATTTGCCTCCAAATTTCATTTACAAACTATTAAAATGTTATTATTAATTAATTTATCAACGCATCCATTCATTCATATTTTGGGCATTTTGACGTATTATACACTTCCTATATTCTTCCTTGGAAGCTGAGAAATTTTAAAGTCAAAACTTTAGCCATCGCGTATTCCTATCAAAAATAAATATCATAAACAATTTCTTTTTCCCAATACATTTATTCGTTTTTTAAAACAATGTCAATTGCAAAGAACATGAAAGTTTTGCTGATGCAGTCTTTCATTCCGGTTTCGCTAGCGCAAACCAAACGATAAAGCAAAACAGTAGCCTGCGAGCAAGCTCTCCTATTTGGGCGAGTGAAAAGTCTCGCAAGAACGCGCGAGCGAGCAGCGAAGCCGCGAGGGGAAGAGGAACCCCGACCCCTCGCTCGCGCGTTCTCGCGAGGCTCACTTCGCTTGCACAAATATACAGCTCTTGCAAAATTTTTCTAGCAGTCTTCAACTTGTGATGGTGGGTTATCAGGAGCCTGTGGGTCATCTTTCAGCCAGCGATGAAGATGTCCATTTATAAAATGCTTGAATTTTCTCATAACGACAGCACCTACCGTACAAAATCTGTCCGGCATTACCTGCAAAAGAGATGAAAAACATTAAGACAAATACTTGACAGTCCGGGAGAAAAGTATTTTGCCTTTTGTCTCTTTTCTTTAATAGTCAAATATTTACTTCGGAAGCGCACACATTTGGAAAGGAGCTGCCATTTTGGCGGGAAAAAGTAAGATACTTTCTTTAGTTGCTTCGTTGGTTTTGTCTTTTGTTTTTTTGAGGCGCAAAGTCCCCATGCATCGAAAAATTTTGTCCAAAAGAAGACATTGCAATCAAAAGTCAAAATAGAGTTAACTTAAGCCTGAAAATACAGGGAACTTTTTGCAGAGCTACGTTTCAGTGGTTCCATTGCGACATGACCAGTAAAAGGTTGTACCGCCACGAAACTCAAGTTCCGCTGTTTTCCCTGCTACAGTTAAGTTCTGCCCCAATCGAGACAAATTAAGGAAGATCAGAGGTTCCCTTTTAATAACAAAAGGCTTTAACTTGTCGTAAATGTGAAACATCTTTCGATAGAAAATCACCGTGGAACCGATTAGAAATTATTATAAAGGTGCTATTGATGAATCAATAGGCGAAACCCTAAAAGTAATCAAGATCAATATTAGTTTCTGCCTTTTATGGAAAGCTGGAACCAATTTCAGTCATTTAGTTAAAGAAAAAAAACAAAAAGATGGAATTATAACTAGTTGAGTAAGTGTCAAAATTGGGAAATTCTGGCAATATCCAAATACCAATTCTCCTGACTGATCTCCATACATTTCCTTAAGGAATTAGTTGGGAGAATTTGATAAAAGATCAAAGCATTTTTCCCTTTGTTGATCACTTTCTCAATTCTCATAACCTTTTCTCTTGATTGTGTATTAATACTGTTAGGAGAAATCTCTTGACTAAAATACCTAAGAGGGTTAATAAACAAAATAATACTCTGGAAGGTGTTATTAGCTTACTTCAACTTCAAATTCCTCTAACCCAAGCTTTAGGACCCCTCGATAAACTGGCCTGTCTCTCGTAGCGTGGACGCCTCTACTTTCTATGTTATGGAGATACTCAAGTTGAAGATCTTTAATGAACTGTGACGTCACAGTCACGCCAACTTCACTGCCACTGTCAACTATAAACTGAATGAGTCCTGATGACTGAGCGTCTGAAAAACAAACAATTTTCATGTTCCAATTATCGGCAAACTACAGCAGGCCGACTAGTTTCATCCATTGTAAACCTAAAGGTGATATTAAACGAAGTGATTTGCAAAGACGTTTTTAAGAGTAACAATGTTGAAAAAATGTTGCAACAATTCGAAACAATGACGCAACAATGTCGTAACGCTGTGTTGCCTTTAAAAAGTCGCTGTGAATTGTCAAGTATAACATCGCCTTAAAACGAATTAGTCTCTAGGATCTGTTTTAAGAGTGTTTTGTTTTTATCACAAACTCAAAGTATCTTATCGCGGCTCATATCTTTCTATATTTTTTAACAAAAAAGTACCCTTTTGAATTAAGTTAATAAAACCTGTACATCCCTGATAATGCAGTTGAGACATTCTCACACAGCAAATGAAGGTAAACTATTTCAGAGATTATAGTTTTAATTTAACAATTGGCCTCCCTATTCCATTCTCTCTATTTGCTGAATGGGTAAGTGAACCAGCATACTTGGAGCAGCATACTTAGTGACTGACTTCCTGGTTGACTCGCTGACTGTTTGACTGGCTGACTTGCTGGTGGCTGGAAAACTGGTTGACTATGCAACTGATTGACTGTCTGATTAACAGCCTGACTGCAGGAGCTCATGATTCTCCTGTTGACTGACTGGCTAAATGACCAACTGATTGATTGACTTTCTTGCTGACTCACTAATTTCCTGACTGTTTGACTGGCTTGGTGCTGGCTGGAAGAATGGTTGACTATGCAACTGATTGACAGCCTGACTGCAGGAGCCCATGATGCCCCTGTTGAATTACTGGCTAAAAGATCAACTTAGTGACTGACTTTCTGGCTGATTCACTGATTGTCTGACTGATAGATTGACTGACTGGCTTACTGTTGGCTGGAAGACTTGATTGACTATACAACTAATTGACTGCTCATTGACAGCCTGACTGCGGGAGCTCAAGATGCTCCTATTGACTGACTGGCTTAATGACCAACTGATTAGCTGACTGCCTGGCTGACTAAGTGATTGCCTGACTGTTTGACTGGCTGATAGATTGACTGATTGGCTTGATGCTGGCTGGAAGACTGGTTGACTATGCAACTGATTGACTTTCTGACTGCAGGATCCCATGTTCCTGTTGGCTGACTGGCTAAATTACCAACTGATTGACTGACTTTCTGGCTTATTCACTCATTTTTATTGTTTCCCTCCATTACCACTACCACCACCAACACATTTCTATTGTTTTCACTCCTCCTATTGTTTTCCTACTAGACAGGTTATTTGAGTTTGGACTTTTTGCCCTGCCTTTGGCCTTTTTGGCCTGGGTCTGGCCTTTCTGACCTTCCAAAATATAACCTGTCTGGTAGGAAAACAATAGGAGGGGTGATGACCGAACTGACTGATTGACTTTCTGGCTGACTCACTGATTGTCTGACTGTCTAACTATTTGACTGGCTTGCTGATGGCAGGAAGACTGGTTGACTATGCAACTGATTGACTGGTTGATTGACAGCCTGTCTGCAGGAGCTCATGATGCCCCTATTCACTGACTGGCTAAATGACCAACTTTGTGATTGACTTTCTGGCTGACTCAATGATTGCCTGTCTGTTTGACTGGCTGATAGACTGACTGACTGCATGGCTTCCTGCTGGCTGGAAGACTGGTTGACTATGCAACTGATTGACTTTCTGACTGCAGAAGCCCATGCTCCTGTTGGCTGACTGGCTAAATTACCAACTGATTGGCTGACTTTCTGGCTGACTCACTGATTGTCTGACTGTCTGACTGACTGACTTGCTACTGGCTGGAATGGAAGACTAATGGATTGACTCCCTGACAGACAGCCTGACTGCAGGAGCCCATAATGCCCCTGTTTCAGACCTGTTGATTGACTGGCTAAATGAGCAACTGACTGACTGACTGACTTGCTAGCTAACTCACTGACTATGTGACTGTGGCTGATAGACTGTTTGACTGGAGCGCTGCTGGCTGACTGGTTGACTATGCAACTGACTGACAGTTAGTAACAAGTCAGTCAGGATTTCCTGGTAACAAGAGAGCCCAATCTGCCTTATGCCAGACTCTCTGAACAAGTGACACTCACTGAAATCTTGCTTGATGCCTGGCTTTAAAAACTGAATGATCAATGAATGATTGACTCTGCTTTAAGCCAACTGGATGGTACAAAACTTGAACAGCAGGCCAGTAGATAATTGATTGTCTGCTTATTTGTCTGGAGTTACTGACAAGCTGAGTTATACTGATTTGGCCAACTGACTGACTAACCAATTGACTGGGTCTTGTTTTACACGTGTGATCTGGTTAAAGCCTGTATTAGGCTAACATATGGCCGACTTGAATGGAAATATATGAAATGACTCATATTTTCAACTGACTGTTGAGTTTTCTGTAACAGGGGCCTTTTCTTAGCAATGGGAACAAAGAACATTATAAAATCAGTACACCCTACATACCCTCTCCAGTGCTGGACTTGAGAAAACCAGGGACGCAAAGGAAATCGAAGTTATTTCCTTCCATTTCTGTTGGCTGGCCCCAGTAACCTATTACCACCGCGGAAACACTCACATCATCAGGGCCGGAGATGTTTGAATTTAGAAACGATACTGCCGGTGGAAATAATAACAAAAACCATGATAAATAATTTCATCTTTCGTATTCTTCAGAATTTTGAGGTAGACCATTTTAAAATTCAGCATACTGGGACTAACACATGTTTGCAGTTTGGATACAAAATATTATCTAGGGTAGTTTTAAAAGACTGTAATTAAGTAAGCACCTCTATAAATAAACATTCACTTTGCTTGATTACGCTGAAGAAAGGCAGGATCATTGCTTTTTTGACTAACTTGTTAAAACCATATAAAACTAATTTTTATGAAAAAGCAATACTAAACACTAAATTTGCTTTAATTTATATGGTCTTATGATGGTTAAACATAAACAAAAATTAAAACAACCTAAAGGGTATAAAAATGCATCGATTAGGCAGTCAGTACAGAACGGTGCAACTAAACGCTTCCGAGTCGGAGTTGTTCGTTGAAAGACTTGTTAGGATTTAAACAAAGAGTAAGGTGGCTTTTAATGATTTTGCATTGATAGAAAGAAGGACGAAAGTGAGCAACAAATCAGGCAGAATTGATTCAACAGTTGTTGAAGATAAATACCTGAGAGCTATAAAATACCAGAGACTAAAAGGTTTTAAACCAAGCGCTATTAACGAGAGTTGTGCTCGAACAACAAATTCATTCCGGAATCATGTTTCTCTTTGCGTTTTTTAAACCAAGCATGCTAGACTAACACAGATAAAGCAAAAGCAAAACTGAATGATTTCCGTTTAAAATTTATATTTAAGTTCCAACAGACAGCACGATCATATCGCATCTCGATATAGCTTAATACTCGCAAAAAACGTATGTTTAAATACTGTGTAATTACTAAATAGTCCGTCACGCGAAAAGGTAAGAACTTAAAAGCTGCCCCGTCTCAAACTGAATACTGTACCCTTCACAATGGTCTAATTACAGAGAGAGTTAATCTATACCAAAGAAATTACATGTATTGTATGAGCAAACTCAGATCATGGCACCGTCATTGGTGCTTGGGTTCCCGAAAGTAAATTCTCAAAACGGGGCACCGAATCTGACGTTTTTAAGCAACTAAACTTCCATGTTGGTTTAGGACAACTACATAATGAAAATGTTTTTTAAAACCCTATACGTTCCCTGGGTTTACTGATACAAAACTAACTGTAAATACTTCTTCTAATCGTCCTTTGTCGACTCCTCTTCCTCTGGCGCAAAAAATAAACGAGTATGCATATACTAGGGCAATAAATTGTGGCTAATTCATAATAAATTTATCACCGTGTTGCAGAATTGAAAAACAAGCCCTTCAGCGATTTACACAGTCAACTAGAAAAAACAAAATGAATCAGTGCGCAGGGAGGGTTAGCAAAGCGCGCTCAGCTAGCTCGAGCACGTGTTCAGCGAATAGCGAGAAAACCAAAACCTGTTAAAAATTTAATATTTTAGAAGAGAATATTTTGAAAAAACTTTCTTCATGAAATTATTATGAAAAAGCAGTAATTCCTGCTTGTGTCTTCATTTTAAAAATGCAGAGCCTCATAGGATACAACCTGAGGATGCAGGTTGTTTGGAAGAAAGACATTTAGGGTCCGAGATCCCCAATTACATAAAACGCATGTTTTTTATCTGCAAATCTGAAATTATAAAGTGTATTCCAGTCGCCCTCTGCTTACAACCATGAATTAGTTATACCTGATGCAACCGAAGAGGTGAAATTAGCAGTGGCCTACTTAAAATGAAACATAACTTTTAAGAGGATAGCTTATAAAAGGGTTCGAGAACACAGACAGGTATTAAAGTCAATCAGATTTAACTTTGCTCGCCTGCTTTCATCAATTGACATGTTTCTTCGCAATCCACTGGCAATCTTTCGGAGGAAAAAACGTTTATGCTTCAAAACTTGCCTTTCAAAGCCGCACAATGGCTAAGTATTTTAATCTCTTTGATGTAAAGGGGAACCCCCGTTAGTGACGATCTAATTGTTTCTTGATGATGAGCAATATTCCTTGTATTTTGTTTAGATGTTTACATTGTATTTCCCTTTCTTTTAGCTTCGTTTTCTCCTGATCGGCAAATTGATTCCCTTAGCCTAGGAGTTGCAGTCAGAGGGAGGAAAAAATGCTATTAAAGCTTACATATTGGCCAACGCTGTAACTTCAAATGCTTCGGCTGAAGAATCTTGTAACATTTAAAATAAGCCGTTACGTTTTCAACTTCGGTCCCAGCTAGTTAGACAAAATGCTATTTACATGTAAACATTTACCTGCAGTTTTAATTCTTTTTCGATGTCCCGGGATCATGACTTCTAATGCATCTAGGAGGTCATCTGAAATCTCATGGGCCCTTAGGTCTTTAACACTATGGATGCCCTCTCTTTTAAATTCGTTGATGTAAGAATCCAACTCCATGTGATTCAGCCATACTTCTATATCCAGTTCAGAAGCTGATGGGTATAAAAAAATATATTTTCACCATGTTCACCGTCAGAAGCTGGGAATTTTGATAGGAGCCGGGCAATCAGACAGTCCAACTGAATAAACTTGCTAACAAACAATACATCGAGGAGCCTAAGGATCGTAGGTTAGGAATTACTCAGGGCAATATTATTGTGGGCAATAAATAAAACATTATTTTTAGGGTGAAAATCAATACGACATACTGTGCATAAATTTCGTGGTGTAGAGGTCATACAGATAGATGTTTGATTTCCTACCTGCTTGCAAAATTTTTTCCCTGTCCTCTTTGTCTGTGACACTTATCAAATTCAAGTCCTCCTCGTTTAAAAGACACAAATCAAGAGCAGTTTGGTAGCCTTGACCAACAAGTCTTCCGCTATATTTTTCGAGGTTAATTTTTTCCAAAAATGTTTTTACAACGTTTCCAGACACTGCCATCGCAGAGAAAACGAAGTGAAAATGGCTTTACTTTTCGATTCCAAGCGCCTTTATATGAATGTAAAAATATATTACCTCTGATTGGTTTTGAACTGCTTTCAATTGTTTCTGATTGGCTGATTTTAATAGAATATTCTTGCGAGGGAAATTTTTGTCACGAAGGGCAAAGCGACGCTGCGCTTGTTTGAACTTGCCCTCATCCAAGCCCTTCATTCTATTGTTTATGTAATGACGTCACTGCCGCAGAAACTCAAGATGGCGGCTGTATTGGGTTGTTTTGGTGGTGTTTGTTCAAACTTGCCTTCAGGACTATTTCTCCAACATTCAGTACCCGGTTAAGTAACCAAAAACAGTTAATTACATACAACGAACGTACCTTTTAAACATAAAGTCGGTAAGTTGTCATCCTTTTTTTTCCCTGCAGCTAGTTTGTGCTATCTGGAATTGCAGTAGCTACTGAGTTCGTGTTAAACAATAATTTATCCCCTTGATCTCAAACAAATATCCACTTTGGAGGCAAAGAAATACACATTCACGCACCCATGGTTGTGCACATTGTACACAGCTATGTCTGATAAGTCCAGCTAGTAAGTTAATTGCTATCCGATTCCACGAACATGGCCATTACGGTTGCAATCATTGGGCGCCGTGAGACTTCGACCGTTGATGTACGGCGTGAATAAAAGGCGAGGCCAAACTCAGCCTTTGCATTTCCGATTGACGCTAAAGAATTATTTTTATAATGTATTACCGGAAATCTAACTCGCAGTTTATAGCTTTATTTTGCTTCTTGTTGAAAAATATAAGTAATATATACTTATTGCATTCTTATAGAACTGAATGTTTACAAAGCGGATTTAATTGAGTGTCTAAGTTATGTAATTGCTATCATGTGATTGGCTGAATATATAATCTGGTGGGTCCTTCACAACCAGTCATAATATTTATTTTGAAATGTGAACAGCCAACTACTGCGTATAAAATGACAATGAGCGGAAAATACATTACAGTGGAAAATAAATGGCCGCAAATATCTGAAAAATAAAATAATAATTTTAGCCAGCATCCTTTTCACACGTCAGTAGATTTTCATGGTAATTTTAATTTGCTAAAGCAGGGTTTTGCATATTTACTGCTTCATAAACTTTGAAATATATTTTGTGACCTTCGTAATTAAAGCCAGCATCCTTTTCACACTTCAGTAGATTTTCATGGGAATTTCACATGCACGGGTATTATATAAATTATAAACTTAATTGGTGCTATTTACATAAGACATATAAAGTCAGGTTTGGCATATTTGTCACATAAACTTTAAAGTTTTCATGCCTGCATCCTTTTCACACTTCAGTAGAGTTTCATGGGAATTTCACTTGCATGGATATTGTAAACTTAAAGGAGCTGTGTCACGAAAGAGACAGGAACTTTATCACAGGGATTTCTGGCATCAATTGTGTTTATGTCGCTTTCTAGCCACCATATTGGTGTCCCTTGGCAAAGCTGTTAACACATTTATCTTCTCAGATTCTGGACTTAATCTATTGAATGGTACTAATATAAGTTTTATTTTTGATAGCATGAGAGTGAAAACCAGCAAAATATTGTCCACCCAAATGATTTCAGAAATCTCTGTGTTAAAAATTAAAAATGCTGAGTACTGTTCCTGCCTCTTGCTTACAATGATTATTGAGAGGATAATATTCTGTCCCCTCTTGTGTATATATGTGAACAACATTTTTCTTCTCTTTCAGGCCTTGCATAATTCATAGAGTGCACCTTGGGCTTGCTGTTGGAAGTATTTCTGCTAATCAGTAGCCTTCAAAACTTCAACAGTTAACGCCTTCAACCAGTGTTATAGTCTTATTCTTTGTAACCCTCACTAACTAAGATATTTCAAGTTGTTAAATTTGTCAAATGTAAGCAACATGCCAGGAGATGAATTTTTAGGGACTTTTAGTTCAGAAAGTGGAAAAAAAATGACTGTATTGAGTTTACACCCCTCATTATAATTTAGCCATGATTATGTCACTCTTATTAACCCACCTTTTTTAAACATTTTCGATCATATGTTTCTTGTCATGTAACAAAGTGATAAGAGACTTATATAGCAGATTAAAAGATCCTTTTTAAAAAATTATTTTCTTTGAGAAGTGCTTCTGTGTCAATTAGATGATGATTTTCAACAGTTGTCCAAGCTTCTGGAGAAACTGGCAGCACTGCATCAGCTCACCTTAAAGGGTTAATGTCATGAGGCTATTGCTGTTTTAGGCCAATTCTTGCTTAAGTCATTACCTAGTGCCTTAATCCATGTAGAAAATGCTCCTGTAGTGTTATGAAGAAGATATCAAACAACTTTCTTCAGAGAGCACTAGCCGTAATACTTTTTTGTTGACTTTTGCCAGCATAGCATTAAAACTTGAAAAAAAACTGGCCCAATTGTCTTAATCCATGTCCTGACCTGTCCTTCCTTGCCATCCATAGTGAGGGGAAACAGGTTTCAAGTCCTAAATGTAGTCTTAAATAACAAAACTGGGGATCATTTTACGTTTCTGGGAAACTGCCCACCTACCCCTCCCCTAAGCCAGCATTTTGCCCTAAGTGAGGAGAGAGTGTTAATGTTGTCTTAGGGGAGGGGTAGGTGAACAGCTTCCCGGAAACGTAAAATGGTCCAAAACTGGACCATTATTTGTGGAATTTATTTCAAATTAATACAAAGACATGTTTTAGATATTTTTTGAAAAGATAGCAAATACAGTAAAAACCCACGACTGAGAGCCTGTCAGGCTAAAATTTACCACTTAGGCCCCCTCTATACCATAACCTGTTTAGCCTAAAATTTGGAACAGGTTCTTGTTTTCTAAAATGTTTAATGGTGCCTTATTACTCCAACTGCAATATATTGTGATGCTATACTGGTTTTACCTAAGGAATGAGCTGAATACCGCTAAATACTCTAAGCTACCATGTATCTTTCTCTTTAGAAAATAAGAACCTATTTAAGAACCTAAATAACTGTTTAGGCTAACTTGGCAAAAGGCAGGTTCTTAGTCATGGGTTTTTACTGTAGCGTAGCATAGCTCCTTTAGAAATTTTTAAATCCTGTGTAAATAAATGTTACTACTACTTCTTTGGCAAATTGCACCAGTCTTTCACAAATTAGTAATAAAAGTGGGAACAAAAGAAGAGTCGTTTCTGGTTAATTTTATTTCCGTAGCATGAGTATCAGGGCTTAAAACGTCCTCTCCTCTAAGCCCTGAGGAAGGCCTGTAACTCCAGATATCCAGTACCTGGCTGGAGCTGCTCACTGATTGGTTAAACCAGTGAATAGTAGACCAATAACAGAGTCGCTTCAGTGAGATACTGATGACCGTTATAATCACTGAACAAGGCGTCAGATTGGATGTATTGCATTGTTTTCCGGTCTAAGAGAAGTAAAAAGATACAACATTAATTAACGCATTTTTTTCGTCTTAATGATTGATGGTGTACTGGTTATTTATTCAAACCCGGAGGAAGGAGGGACCAGGGACTCGGGGGAGGGGGAGGGGGGATTTGAAGGTGTGTAGCTTAACTTCTGCTTTCAAGCCCTCGGTTTATTCAACTTCCAAAGGGCTTTAGGAGGGCTTATAAATGGGAGAGGGGGCTTATATCCGGTTGGGCTTATTACCATGACGTATATATCCTCAGATCATTCCCGAAGGATGAGTGCGGGCTCATTTTCCTGAACTGCGGCTGGTAATGGTAAAATGTTCGCAAGGATTCCCTTGATCCTCATTTATCTGGCAGGCGTCAATACAAACGGTCTCCCTTCTCCCGTGATTATTGCACTGAAATTTTAGATGAAATCAGTCCCAGGTGTCATTGTACCGAATCGCGCAAAATTATATGCAAACCGGTTCCGGTTACCGGCCATATAGCCACAGCGTCAAAAAAAGACACCAACAATATTGAAATAAACTCCATTTATTGAACATAAATAAAAAAATGTAAAATAAGCTATCGATTTGGCTCCAAATTTCATATACAAACTATTATAATGTTATTATTAATTAATTTATCAACGCATCCATTCATTCATATTTTGGGCATTTTGACTTATTATACACTTCCTATCATATACTTCCTATAAGCTAGGAAGCTGAGAAATTTTAAAGTCAAAACTGGAGCCATCGCGTAAATAAATATCATAAGCAATTTCTTTTTCCCAATACATTCATTCGTTTTCGAAAACAATTTCAATTGCAAAGAACATGAAAGTTTTGCTGATGCAGTCTTTCATTCCGGTTTCGCCAGCGGAACCAAACGATAAAGCAAAACAGTAACCTGCGAGCAAGCTCTCCTATTTGGGCGAGTAAAGCGAGTCTCGAGAGAGCGCGCGAGCGAGCGGCGAAGCCGGGAGCAGGGGAGGGGAAGAGAAACCCCGGCCCCTCGCTCGCGCGTTCTCGCGAGGCTCACGTCGCTTACTCAAACAGGAGAGCTTGCTCGCAGGCTAGCAAAACAGCTACAGCTCTTGCAAAATTTTTTTTAGCAGTCTTCAACTTGTGATGGTGGGTTATCAGAAGCCTGTGGGTCATCTTTCAGCCAGCGATGAAGACGTCCGTTTATAAAATGCTTGAATTTTCTCATCACGACAGCACCTACCGTACAAAATCTGTCCGGCATTACCTGCAAAAGAGATAAAAAACATTTAGGCAAACACTTGACAGTCTGGGAGAAAAGTATTTTGCCTTTTGTCTCTTTTCTTTAATAGTCAAATATTTACTTCGGAAGCGCACACATTTGGAAAGGAGCTACCGTTTTGGCGGGTAAAAAGTAAGATACTTTCTTTAGTTACTTTGTTGATTTTGTCTTTTGTTTTTTTTGAGGCGCAAAGTCTCCATGCATCGAAACATTAATTGTCCAAAAGAAGACACTGGAATCAAAAGTCAGAATAGAGTTAACTTAATCCTGAAAATACAGGGAACTCTTTGCAGAGCTACGTTTCAGTGGTTCCATTGCGACATGACCAGTAAAAGGTTGTACCGCCGCGAAACTCAAGTTCCGCTGTTTTCCCTGCTACAGTTAAGTTCTGCCCCAATCGAGACAAATTAAGGAAGATCAGAGGTTCCCTTTTAATAACAAAAGGCTTTAACTTGTCGTAAATGTGAAACATCTTTTGATAGAAAATCACCCTGGAACCGATTAGAAATTATTATAAAGGTGCTATTGATGAAACAATAGGCGAAACCCTAAAAATAATCAAGATCAATATTAGTTTCTGCCTTTTATGGAAAGCTGGAACCAATTTCAGTCATTTAGTTAAAGAAAAAAAACAAAAAGATGGAAAATATTGATCAACTCATTCACAGTTTTAACCCTTTAAGACCCAATATCCAAATACCAATTCTCCTGACTGATCTCCATACATTTCCTTAAGGAATTAGTTGGGAGAATTTGATAAAAGATCAAAGCATTTTCCCTTTGTTGATCACTTTCTCAATTCTCATAACCTTTTCTCTTGATTCTGTATTAATACTGTTAGGAGAAATCTCTTGGCTAAAATACCTAAGAGGATTAATAAACAAAATAATACTCTGGAAGGTGTTATTAGCTTACTTCAACTTCAAATTCCTCTGACCCAAGCTTTAGGACCCCTCGATAAACTGGCCTGTCTCTCGTAGCGTGGACGCCTCTACTTTCTATGTTATGGAGATACTCCAGTTGAAGATCTTTAATGAACTGTGACGTCACAGTCACGCCAACTTCACTGCCACTGTCAACTATAAACTGAACGAGTCCTGATGACTGAGCGTCTGAAAAACAAACAATTTTCATATTCTTATTACCGGAAAAGTACAGCAGGCCGACTAGTTTCATCTATTGTAGACCTAAACGTGATATTAAACGAAGTGATTTGCAACGACGTTTTTAAGAGCAACGATAATGTTGGAAAAATGTTGCAACAATTCGAAACAATGTCGTAACGCTGTGTTGCCTTTAAAAAGTCGCTACGAATTGTCAAGTATAACATCGCCTTAAAACGAGTTAGTCTCTATGATCTGGTTTAAGAGTGTTTTGTTTTTATCACAAACTCAAAGTATCTTATAGCTCATATCTTTCTACATTTTTTACCAAACAAGTACCCTTTTGAATTAAGTTAATAAAACCTGTACATCCCTGATAATGCAGTTGAGACATTCTCACACAGCAAATGAAGGTAAACGATTTCAGAGAGTATAGTTTTAACCATTGGCCTCCCAATTCAATTCTCTCTATTTGCTGGATGGGTAAGTCAACCAGCAGACTTGGAGCAGCATACTTAGTGACTGACTTCCTGGTTGACTCACTGACTGTTTAACTGGCTTGCTGCTGGCTGTAAGACTGGTTGACTATACAACTGCAGGAGCTCATGAAACTCCTGTTGACTGACTGCCTTAATGACCAACTTAGTGACTGACTTCCTGGCTGACTCACTGACTGTTTGACTGGCTGACTTGCTGGGGGCTGGAAAACTGGTTGACTATGCAGCTGATTGACTGCCTGATTAACAGCCTGACTGCAGGAGCCCGTGATTCTCCTGTTGACTGACTGGCTAAATGACCAAATGATTGATTGACTTTCTTGCTGACTCACTAATTGCCTGACTGTTTGACTGTTTGACTGGCTTGGTGCTGGCTGGAAGACTGGTTGACTATGCAACTGATTGACAGCCTGACTGCAGGAGCCCATGATGCCCCTGTTGACTTACTAGCTAAAAAATCAACTTAGTGACTGACTTTCTGGCTTACTCACTGATTGTCTGACTGATAGATTGACTGACTGGCTTACTGTTGGCTGGAAGACTGGTTGACTATACAATTAATTGACTGCTGATTGACAGCCTGACTGCAGGAGCTCAAGATGTTCCTGTTGACTGACTGGCTTAATGACTAACTGATTGCCTGACTGTTTGACTGGCTGATAGATTGACTGATTGGCTTGATGCTGGCTGGAAGACTGGTTGACTATGCAACTGAATGACTTTCTGACTGCAGGATCCCATGTTCCTGTTGGCTGACTGGCTAAATTACCAACTGATTGACTGACTTTCTGGCTTACTCACTCATTTCTATTGTTTCCCTCCATTACCACCACCACCACCAACACATTTCTATTGTTTTCACTCCTCCTATTGTTCTCCTACCAGATAGGTTATTTGAGTTTGGACTTTTGCCCTGCTTTTGGCCTTTTTGGCCTGGGTCTGGCCTGTCTGACCTTCTAAATTTAACCTGTCTGGTAGGAAAACAATAGGAGGGGTGATGACCGAACTGACTGATTGACTTTCTGGCTGACTCACTGATTTTCTGACTGTCTAACTGTTTGACTGGCTTGCTGCTGGCAGGAAGACTGGTTGACTATGCAACTGATTGACTGATTGATTGACAGCCTGACTACAGGAGTTCATGGTGCCCCTGTTCAATGACTGGCTAAATGACCAACTTTTTGACTGACTGACTGACTCACTGATTGCCTGTTTGTTTGACTGGCTGATAGATTGATTGACTGTATGGCTTGCTGCTGGCTGGAAGACTGGTTGACTATGCAACTGATTGACTTTCTGACTGCAGGATCCCATGCTCCTGTTGGCTGACTGGCTAAATTACCAACTGATTGACTGACTTTCTGGCTGACTCACTGATTGTCTGACTGTCTGACTGACTGACTTGCTACTGGCTGGAATGGAAGACTAATTGATTGACTGCCTGACAGACAGCCTGACTGCAGGAGCCCATAATGCCCCTGTTTCAGACCTGTTGATTGACTGGCTAAATGAGCAACTGACTGACTGACTGACTTGCTAGCTAACTCACTGACTATGTGACTGTGGCTGATAGATTGTTTGACTGGAGTGCTGCTGGCTGACTGGTTGACTATGCAACTGACTGACAGTTAGTAACAAGTCAGTCAGGATTTCCTGGTAACAAGAGAGCCTAATTTGCCTTATGCCAGACTCTCTGAACAAGTAACACTCACTGAAATCTTGCTTGATGCCTGGCTTTAAAAACTGAATGATCAATGAATGATTGAATTTGCTTTTAATAGGCCAACTGGATGGTACAGAACTTGAAGAGCAGGCCAGTAGATAATTGACTGTCTGCTTATTTGTCTGGAGTTACTGACAAGCTGAGTTATACTGATTTGGCCAACTGACTGACTAACCAATTGACTGGGTCTTGTTTTACACATGTGACCCGGTTAAAGCCTGTATTAGGCTAACATATGGCCGACTTGAATGGAAATATATGAAATGACTCATATTTTCAACTGACTGTTGAGTTTTCTGTAACAGGGGCCTTTTCTTAGCAATGGGAACAAAGAACATTCTAAAATCAGTACACCCTACATACCCTCTCCAGTGCTGGACTTGAGAAAACCAGGGACGCAAAGGAAATCGTAGTTGTTTCCTTCCATTTCTGGTGGCTGGCCCCAGTAACCTATTACCACCGCGGAAACACTTTGTCTCACATCATCAGGGCCGGAAATGTTTAAATTTAGAAACGATACTGCCGGTGGAAATAATAACAAAAACCATGATAAATAATTTCATCTATCGTATTCTTCAGAATGTTGAGGTAGATCATTTTAAAATTCAGCATACTGGGACTAACACATGTTTGCAGTTTGGATACAAAATATTATCTAGAGTAGTTTTAAAAGACTGTAATTAAGTAAGCACCTCTATAAATAAACATTCACTATGCATGAATACGCCGAAGAAAGGCAGGATCATTGCTTTTTTGACTAACTTGTTAAAACCATATAAAACTAATTTTTATGAAAAAGCAATACTAAACACTAAATTTGCTTTAATTCATATGGTCTTATGATGGTTAAACATAGACAAAAGTTAAAACAACCTAAAGGGTATAAAAATGCATCGATTAGGCAGTCAGTACAGAACAGTGCAACTAAACGCTTCCGAGTCGGAGTTGTTCGTTGAAAGACTCGTTAGTATTTAAACAAAGAGTAAGATGGCTTTTAATGATTTTGCATTGCTAGAAAGAAGGACGAAAATGAGCAACAAATCAGGCAGAATTGATTCAACAGTTGTTGAAGATAAATACCTGAGAGCTATAAAATACCTGTGACTAAACCAAGTGCTACTAACGAGAGTTGTGTTCGAACAAGAAATTCATTCCGGAATCATGATTCTCTTTTTGCGTTTTTTAAACCAAGCATGTTAGACTAACACAGATAAAGCAAAAGCAAAACTGAATAATTTGCGTTTAAAAGTTATATTCAAGTTCCAACAGAGAGCAGGCACGATCATATCGCATCTCGATATAGCTTAATACTCGCGAAAAACGTATGTTTAAATACTGTGTAATTACTAAATAGTCCGTCACGCGAAAAGATAACAACTTAAAAGCTGCCCCGTTTCAAACTGAATACTGTACCCTTCACAATGGTGTAATTACAGAAAGAGTTAATCTATACCAAAGAAATTACATGTATTGTATGAGCAAACTCAGATCATGGCACCGTCATTGGTGCTTGGGTTGCCGAAAGTAAATTCTCAAAACGGGGCACAGAATCTGACGTTTTTAAGCAACTAAACTTCCATGTTGGTTTAGGACAACTACATAATGAAAATGGTTTTTAAAAGCCTATACGTTCCCTTGGTTTACTGATACAAAACTAACTGTAAATACTTCTTCTGATCGTCCTTTGTCGACTCCTCTTCCTCTGGCGCCAAAAATATACGAGTATGCTTATACTAGGGCGATAAATTGTGGCTAATTCATAATAAATTTATCATCATGTTGCAGAATTGAAAAACAAGTCCTTCAGCGATTTACACAGTCAACTAGAAAAATCAAAATGAATCAGTGCGCGGGGAGGGTTAGCAAAGCGCGTTCAGCTAGCTCGAGCACGTGTTCAGCGAATAGCGAGAAAACCAAAACCTGTTAAAAATTTAATATTTTAGAAGAGAATATTTTGAAAAAACTTTCTTCATGAAATTATTATGAAAAAGCAGTAATTCCTGCTTGTGTCTTCATTTTAAAAATGCAGAGCCTTATAGGATACAACCTGAGGATGCAGGTTGTTTGGAAGAAAGACATTTAGGGTCCGAGATCCCCAATTACATAAAACGCATGTTTTTTATCTGCAAATCTGAAATTATAAAGTGTATTCCAGTCGCCCTCTGCTTACAACCATGAATTAGTTATACCTGATGCAACCGAAGAGGTGAAATTAGCAGTGGCCTACTTAAAATGAAACATAACTTTTAAGAGGATAGCTTATAAAAGGGTTCGAGAACACAGACAGGTATTAAAGTCAATCAGATTTAACTTTGCTCGCCTGCTTTCATCAATTGACATGTTTCTTCGCAATCCACTGGCAATCTTTCGGAGGAAAAAACGTTTATGCTTCAAAACTTGCCTTTCAAAGCCGCACAATGGCTAAGTATTTTAATCTCTTTGATGTAAAGGGGAACCCCCGTTAGTGACGATCTAATTGTTTCTTGATGATGAGCAATATTCCTTGTATTTTGTTTAGATGTTTACATTGTATTTCCCTTTCTTTTAGCTTCGTTTTCTCCTGATCGGCAAATTGATTCCCTTAGCCTAGGAGTTGCAGTCAGAGGGAGGAAAAAATGCTATTAAAGCTTACATATTGGCCAACGCTGTAACTTCAAATGCTTCGGCTGAAGAATCTTGTAACATTTAAAATAAGCCGTTACGTTTTCAACTTCGGTCCCAGCTAGTTAGACAAAATGCTATTTACATGTAAACATTTACCTGCAGTTTTAATTCTTTTTCGATGTCCCGGGATCATGACTTCTAATGCATCTAGGAGGTCATCTGAAATCTCATGGGCCCTTAGGTCTTTAACACTATGGATGCCCTCTCTTTTAAATTCGTTGATGTAAGAATCCAACTCCATGTGATTCAGCCATACTTCTATATCCAGTTCAGAAGCTGATGGGTATAAAAAAATATATTTTCACCATGTTCACCGTCAGAAGCTGGGAATTTTGATAGGAGCCGGGCAATCAGACAGTCCAACTGAATAAACTTGCTAACAAACAATACATCGAGGAGCCTAAGGATCGTAGGTTAGGAATTACTCAGGGCAATATTATTGTGGGCAATAAATAAAACATTATTTTTAGGGTGAAAATCAATACGACATACTGTGCATAAATTTCGTGGTGTAGAGGTCATACAGATAGATGTTTGATTTCCTACCTGCTTGCAAAATTTTTTCCCTGTCCTCTTTGTCTGTGAGACTTATCAAATTCAAGTCCTCCTCGTTTAAAAGACACAAATCAAGAGCAGTTTGGTAGCCTTGACCAACAAGTCTTCCGCTATATTTTTCGAGGTTAATTTTTTCCAAAAATGTTTTTACAACGTTTCCAGACACTGCCATCGCAGAGAAAACGAAGTGAAAATGGCTTTACTTTTCGATTCCAAGCGCCTTTATATGAATGTAAAAATATATTACCTCTGATTGGTTTTGAACTGCTTTCAATTGTTTCTGATTGGCTGATTTTAATAGAATATTCTTGCGAGGGAAATTTTTGTCACGAAGGGCAAAGCGACGCTGCACTTGTTTGAACTTGCCCTCATCATGCTCATCCAAGCCCTTCATTCCATTGTTTATGTAATGACGTCACTACCGCAGAAACTCAAGATGGCGGCTGTATTGGTTTGTTTTGGTGGTGTTTGTTCAAACTTGCCTGACTATTTCTCCAACATTCAGTACCCGGTTAAGTAACCAAAAACAGTTAATTACATACAACGAACGTACCTTTTTAAACATAAAGTCGGTAAGTTGTCATCCTTTTTTTTCCCTGCAGCTAGTCTGTGCTATCTGGAATTGCAGTAGCTACAGTTCGTGTTAAACAATAATTTATCCCCTTGATCTCAAACAAATATCCACTTTGGAGACAAAGAAATACACATTCACGTACCCATGGTTGTGCACGTTATACACAACTGTGTCTGATAAGTCCAGCTAGTAAGTTAATTGCTATCCGATTCCACAAATATGGCCATAACTGCCATTGCGGTTGCAATGGGCGCCGTGACACTTCGACCGTTGATGTAGCCTTTGCATTTCCGATTGACGCTAAAGAATTATATTTTGCAATGTATTACCGGAAATCTAAGTCGCAGTTTATAGTTTTATTTTGGCTCTTGTTGAAAAATATAAGTAATTGCATTCTTATAGAACTAAATGTTTACAAAGCGGATTTTAATTGAGTGTTTAAGTTACGTGATTGCTATCATGTGATTGGCTGAATATGTAATCCGGTGGCTCCTTCCCAACCAGTCATAATATTTATTTTGAAATGTCAACCACTGCGTATAAAATGACAATGAGTGGAAAATACATTACAGTGGAAAATAAATGGCTGCAAATATGTGAAAAATAAATATCATGTCACCTTCTTAGTTTTAGCCAACATCCTTTTCACACATCAGTAGGTTTTCATGGTAATTAGCAGTGTTTGGCATATTTGCTGCTTCATAAACTTTGAATTTCGTGGCCTTCATAATTAGCCAGCATCCTTTTCACACTTCAGTAGATTTTCATGGGTTTCATCTGCACGGGTGTAATATAAATTATAAACTTAATTGGTGCTATTTACGTAAGACACATAAATTAGGGTTTGGCATATTTGTCACATAAACTTTAAAGTTTATTGCCTTCTTAATTCATGCCAACATCCTTTTCACACTTCAGTAGAGTTTCATGGGAATTATTTCACTTGCATGGGTATTATAAACTTAAAGGAGCTGTGTCACGAAACTTAAACAAATTAGGTAATTACAAAATGCCCGTTACATTAAGAGAAACATAAAAATAACAGCTTAGAGCATTAAAGGAAGGTTAAAATAACACAACAGATACAACCAACCCTCCAAGTTAAATTTTTCCTTTGGTGGCCATTGTATACAGTAACTTATAATCCATGTCGAGTAACATCCATGTCGTTTCTTCAAGTATCAGTTTTCTCTGGTCGCCAACTTGGCAACTATTTTTCGAATCAAGTCGCCAGAACCAAAATTTTAGTCGCCAATGGCGCCTAAAGTGGTCGCAGCTTGGAGGGTTGACAACAGATGCCACAGATGGGCAAAACTGAAGAAGATCGAAATGTATTGAAATTAGGGTTTTTGAAAACTGTTCAGCCTAACAGTTTTTTAAAGTTGATCTCTGCTGTTTGCAACTTCAAAATAATGCTCAGGAGACATATTTGTTTGTCTTGAATCTCTGATTCTGTCATTTACATGCAATTTCTTGGCTTACTTTAAGTTCCATAGCGATTGAGTCCGAGTAATTGGTAAAATTATACAAAATGAACTGGACTGCTGTGACACAGCTCCTTTAACTAGTGCTATTTGCGTAAAGTAAAAGTTTGGCATAAATTACAATAAGAACAGACAAAAGCTTTATCACAGGGATTTCTGGCATCAATTGGGTGTTTATGTCGCTTTCTAGCCGGCATATTGGTGTCCCTTGGCACGGCTGTTAACACATTTATCGTCTTTCATTTCTCAGATTCTGGACTTATTCTATTGAATGGTACTAATATAAGTTTTATTTTTGATAGCATGAGAGTGAAAACCAGCAAAATATTGTCCACCCAAATGATTTCAGAAATGTCTGTGTTAAAAATTAAAAATGCTGAGTACTGTTCCTGCCTCTTGCTTACGTTGATTATTGAGAGGCTAATATTCTGTCCCCTCTTGTGTATATATGTGAACAACATTTTTCTTCCCTTTCAGGCCTTGCATAATCCATGGAGTGTACCTTGGGCTTGCTGTTGGAAGTATTTCTGCTAATCAGTGGCCTTCAAAACTCTAACAGTTAATGCCCTCAACCAGTGTTATAGTCTTGTTCTTTGTAACCCTCACTAACTAAAATATTTCAAGTTGTTAAATTTGTCATTATGTAAGCAACATGCCAGGAGATGACTATTTAGGGACTGAATTTTAGTTCGGAAAGCGAAAAAAAGAAAATAACTGTATTGAGTTTACACCCTTCATTATAATTTAGCCATGATTATGTCACTCTTATTAAGCCACCTTTTTTAAAAGTTTTCGGTCATATGTTTTTTGTCATCTAACAAAGTGATGAGAGACGTATATGGCAGATTTCTTTGAGAAGTGCTTCTGTGTCAATTAAATGATGATTTTCAACAGTTGCCTGAGCTTCTGGAGAAATTGGCAGCACTGCATCAGCTCACCTTAAAGGGTTAATGTCATGAGGCTATTGCTGTTTTTGGTCAATTCTTGCTTGAGTCATTACCTAGTGCCTAAATGCAGGTAGAAAATGCTCCTGTAGTGTTATGAAGAAGATATCAAACAACTATCTTCAGAGAGCACTAGCGATAATAATTTTTTGTTGATTTTTGCCAGCATAGTATTGAAACTTGAAAAAAATTGGCCCAATTTTCTTAATCCATGTCCTGAACTGTCCTTCCTTGCCATCCATAGTGAGAGAAAACAGTTTCAAAGCCTATCTTAAATAACAAACCTGGACCATTATTTGTGGAATATGTTTCAGTTAATACAAAGACATGTTTTAGATATGTTTTGAAAAGGTAGCAAATACAGTAAAAACCCACAACTAAGGTCTTGGTTTTTAAGAACCTGTTAGGCTAAAATTTACAAGTTAGGCCCCCTCAATACAAGTACCTGTTTATCCTAAAATTTGGAACAGGTTCTTATTTTCTAAAATGTTTAATGGTGCCTTATTACTCCAACTGTAGTATATTGTGATGCTATACAGGTTTTACCTAAGGAATGATCTGAGCTGACTACCACTAAATACTCTAAGCTACCATGTATCTTTCTCTTCAGAAAATAAGAACCTATTTAAGAACCTAAATACCTGTTTANACTGTAGTATATTGTGATGCTATACAGGTTTTACCTAAGGAATGATCTGAGCTGACTACCACTAAATACTCTAAGCTACCATGTATCTTTCTCTTCAGAAAATAAGAACCTATTTAAGAACCTAAATACCTGTTTAGGCTAACTTGGCAAAAGGCAGGTTCTTAGTGATGGGTTTTTGCTGTAGCATAGCATAGCTCCTTTAGAAATTTTTAAATCCTGTGTAAATAAATGTTACTACTACTTCTTTGGCAAATTGCACCAGTCTTTCACAAATTAGTAATAAAAGTGGGAACAAAAGAAGAGTCATTTATGGTTAATTTTATTTCTGTAGCATGAGTATCAGGGCTTAAAATGTCCTCTCCTCTAAGCCCTGAGGAAGGCCTGTAACTCCAGATATCCAGTACCTGGCTGGAGCTGCTCACTGATTGGTTAAACCAGTGAATAGTAGACCAATGACAGAGTCGCTTCAGTGAGATACTGATGACCGTTATAATCACTGAACAAGGCGTCAGATTGGATGTATTGCATTGTTTTCCCGTCTAAGAGAAGTAAAAAGATACAATATTAATTAAGGCATTTTTTTTGGTCTTAGTGATTGATGGTGTACCAGTACTGGTTATTTATTCAAACCCGGAAGAAGGAGGCACCAGGGACTCGGGGGAGGGGGAGGGGGGATTTGAAGGTCTGTAGCTTAACTTCTGCTTTCAAGCCCTAGGCTTATTTAACTTCCAAAGGGCTTTAGGAGGGCTTATAAATGGGAAGGGGGGGGGCTTATTACCAGACTAAAAGAAGCGTTTCGAATCAAGCTACATAGCAGTGCTAGCATTTGATGCATCAGAAGCTAAAAAGATATAAGTTTATTAAAAGTTTTAGATCTGGCTTATAAAGGATTTATAGCTCAGGACATTTTAAATAAAAGTTGGCTCACGGTTTGAATCTTTAAGGGCATCTTCCAGCCGACAATGTCTTTGATCAAGTGAACAATTTCAATTCCATTTTAATTTCCATATTTTTGCAAAAGTGTACAGGTAATGAACAATAAATCGAATATTTACGACCGAAAATATATTAAGCTTATTTACAATCGTTTCTTCAACCTCCCGCGTTAGTGAAAATTGTTGGAAAACTTTTGCGGATGAAATTCAGGCTATTGCAGAAGTTATGATTACGATCATCGAACCGAACTAATTGTGCAAATTAGATCGATATATTTTTGCATTGAAACTTGCATTGGCGAAAATATCAACTGAAAGTCTTATAATAGAATCATTAAGCTTTCAACAAGCTATATCATTGTGAAATACATACGTGTTGGACTTGTTCTAGAACGCTTTCTTCCTCGCGGTGTCGAAGGAGCAGACATCTTGGGCGCTTTCCATTTAGTCAAAATTTCCGGAATTTCCGTTTCGGAGGTAAATGGAACACGTTTCGTCGGTTCATCCCACTGGAAAATTCCCCGAAAAAGTGGAAAATCTAAAAAGGTGGGCCCGTTTTCCCGGTTGGAATTTCCGAACGGAATGT